TGTTCAGCAATAGGAACCCAGACTTTGCGAGTTTGGGTCTTCCTTGGAGGTTCGCGCTCCTCATGCTCGATTTCTGCATCTGGCTGATCTTGAGGAGTTTCTTCCGCATCCTCCTGATTGTGAATTAGGTCTAGAGTCTGTCCTTCATAGTCTTATTCATTGAGACGGAAGGTGGAGGGTATTGCAGTTCATCCATTTCTTCCACTGCGTTGATGTGGGCTGCTTGGACATTTTCGTCACTGATTTGGTCAAATGTTGGCTCTGTAATGAAACCACTGCCTTCATCAAATTGAGCATGCGAAGTTCTTATAATCTTCTCTCCAGCTCGAGAGGGGACGTAAACTCGAAAAATGTTATGACCCTCATATCCAACGAGAATGCTGACTTCTGCCCTTGAGGCAAGCTTCTGGCTTTGCACTCTGCGTTCCTTTTGGATAATTGCCATACTGACATTCGTTGCACTCAGTTTGCTATCAAACTCAAGAGCAAACTTAGAAATCTCCTCCTCAAACCTACAAGTCACTATACATATTTTGGCTTGTCACACCAACAACAAGAGCAATACTACTCAATGATTGCTACAACCCTCTATGATTCATTACACGTCATTGCTCCTTAGTTACTGGGCCGATATGACCACATAGCATATCTCTACAACCCTCTATGATTCATTACATGACATCACTCCTTAGTTACTGGGCTAATACTACACATGACATATCTCTATCAACTAGAGGCCTAGGAACATGAACGATAGCTCCAAAAGCTTCTACAACCCTCTATGATTCATTACACGTCATCGCTCCTTAGTTACCCACAAGATTGGTTAAGTTATGACATAATTTGTCTATAGGGGTACTCTGACCTTGGACCTCCTTTCACTTCCTATAGGCTAGGAACCTAGGAGATGGTTCTATGGGATTCTCTTACGTCGACTACAGTTACCAAGCCTGGTTAGTCATGTAAAGTCTTGGAAAATGAGAGAACTACACTCCTTTAGCATAAATAGGATTGCCCTTTCCTTAAGAAAGGGCAAGCAGACAATACAGTAAATCGACTATCACATACTTCCACGTCTTTTCCAAGCTTCCAAGCATTGATCTTGTTATTCCTTGTTTCTGAAAAGTCAGTGAGGTGCTAACCTCTGACTTATCCCTGAGTTCTCAGACTCAACATTTGTTACAACTTGTCTAAACCACTCCACTACATCATACACCTGATTGCTGCATTGTGGAATAGTCTAAGCTACGACCCTTTGGCTCTTTTTCCTAAGACAGTGTGTTGTCTTAGTAAAATCATCCCTTCCTTGGGTGGCTAGATTCTCACATCTGGTGCACCCACCATTACAGACCTCCAGTCCTTTATGCGGGATCTCACTCGCATGCGGGAGCATGTAAGGATGCCTTCTCGTCTCTCATTCTAGGGAGTAGACTCTGGGTAGCTGGAGCGTCACGTGGGTGTAACGCTGACTTCTAAACGATAGAAGGCACAGAGGTTCTCTTGCGTAAAGGTTTACTTATCAGAGGAGGCAGGGGATCAGACACAAAGGCTTCAAGTAACACGTTACTAGTATATAACAAATACTGTATTGAGTTGAGCACGAAGCTCCTATCTAAGAACTAACTATCTACTTATATAGTGGCGTCGTGCCTAGTGGACTCCTGGGAACTCACTCGAGTCCTCGGAGTCCTGGACTCTTAGGATTCTTCTCATCATCCTGCGAGTCCGTCACGTGCCTAGTGGACTCCTGGGAACTCACTCGAGTCCTCGGAGTCCTGGACTCTTAGGACTCTTCTCATCATCCTGCGAGTCCGTCACGTGATACTTTCGGAACTACTATTCCCCGCTGCCCCTCCAGGTACCAGGGCCGGTCTCATGCGACCTCCCTCCTTCCTGTCCTGTAGTTGGCCAGCCTTCTTGTTCCGTCGTAACAGTGGGATCATTTGGGTGGGCTAACCGAGTCGGAACTGAGTCGTTTTGGTTTCGGGTACTTGAGACAATCGACTCACGGGGTTCCCCCATCATCTTTTTTGTATCCTTCGTAGTAGACCTATAGGATAGCATCCGTTTAGCCTCCAACTCGCACTCTCATATGCTATTACTGTGAGCTGGGTGCCCTGTGTCCTTACAGAGCAGACCTTTAAGGAGTCTACTATAATATCCGCTTTTCAGAAAGCTGGTATTTGGCCGGTTAGCTGTGCTGTAGCTCTTGCAAAACTACGTACGTACTCGCAGCCTACTATAGAGCCTACACCTATGCCTATACCTACTCTACCAATCCGAGTTTCTACACCTAAACCCACGACTTTTAGGGGGGTAGAAGAGGGGCTACAGCACTGGAAACAGCGGGTTCCAGAAGGCTTTAGTAGCCCCTCGAAGCAGAGCTACAGGAATTGGCTTACCGGCACTGAAGAGGTAGTAGTAGCCGGCCAACTCCAGGAGCTTGACCTGCGTACTGTACGGCGGCAGGTCGAGGAGTCCAAAAAGCGGGCAAGCCGAAGTAGGGCCCGCCTTCAATTTGGAGGCGAGCTCTCTGCTGACCGAGCCCACGAGCTTCGGGCTGAAAAAGCTGATTGTTTAGCCCAGAAGCTCCAGGCCAAAGAAGCCCGGATAGCCCACCAGGCTATCAACCGGGCCCGCAAACAGCTCCGTAGAGCTGGAATTGAGGCCCGGAAGCAGGAACGCCTCCGGAAAAAGAGGGTGGCATTCTACACTAATGCCAGCCTCCCAATTCCTCTAGAGTGGGAGGACCCGGAAGCCTCTGAAAGTGAGGGCGAGGAGGAGTATGAGATTGCGGGCGAGTGTGGGAGCGAGCGTGGGAGTGAGGATGGGAGCGAGCGTGGGAGTCAAAGTGATAATTCAATAGAGTAGGCAGATTATGTACCTTTACATACAAATTACTATGGGCTAGTACTTACTCTCAAAATCGTGAGTTGGCGCAACTTGCTTCCTCTCGCGTGAAGTGGCGCATGTTGCTTACTCCAACCTTGAGTGAAGCGAAAAGTTTGGTCACGACGATTAAGCATAATGTGATCCGTGACTTGTCCTTGTCCCCATGGGTGAAAAAATAGTAACAGCAATTTAGGTCTGCATCTTTAAGATGCTTAATAACGAAGCCACATAATATAGACTTTCCCGTTGCCGGACTTGCGCCGACCCAATAGATCCAGGGGTTCATTGAGTTTCTCCATTCTAAGAACACATCCCTTCTTAAAATCCACTCGCTCCTGGTATTCTCGCAGACTAGGCTGCCATTAATTCATCAGTAGGGGCTTCTGAAATTTGAAGGCAGAGGTTCAACTGATCTTGTAGGGCGGCTAGATCCTTTTTGCTATCAATTTGCGGACAGTCCTGTAGTTGACATCCTTGGGGTTAAGAAACTTGACGACGTGCCGATGATCCGCATTGAGATATGCCATGCGCTCGTTACGATATCCTAGAGTCGCCATGTCTCGTTGTACGATAATTGCTTTAGTCACTCCTATTTGTCGGGATGGTTTCGTAAAAAGAGTACAGTTGGAGTTCCTCACATAATGTCGGGAACTCATCGTATATTGATTGTGTAATTTGAGAATTCCGATGAAGATCCATAACAAATGGTCGACTTCCTAACGTTAGGCTAAGAATTCTAGTGAATGTCGTTGCTAGATCCACGATGAGGAGTAGTAAGAAAGAACATTGCCTTGGTGCGTGTCGCAATCATGGTATATTCGTGTGAGGCTCTCGCAATTATGTATGATTTCTTAAACGACAAGCCCGCCCATGCTATGCGCAGCAAAGACCAGCGGAATCGATAAAAGTTTAGGCCGAGCTTTCTCAATCATTCTAGAGTATTGAACTCACATTTGAATTTCTCTTTACAATTGCGGGGCAGTCCATTATCGCGACAAGAAGAGACTTCGCGAAGTCATGGATGTTCAGGGTGCTTTCTTTCGTCCAGTTCGAATCATATCCGAAAGAATGTATCCGTACATCGCTAAAGCCATCTTCATATGGCAGCCACCTTTCTGGCCAGTAGAGACCGGGATCCAAAGCTCCATTTTGGGATTCGGTACAGGTACTTTGGGAACCTCCTCCAAGCCCGTGTACAAATATTAAATCCGCGATAGCATCTAATGGATCATGTAGAGTGTTCAATCCCAATGGGCCTTTCTTATCAACTACTGAAGATAGACACCACTTGTGTTGCTTCTCGAGAAGGTCCGACTAATACTCGAATTCGTTTTCCGCCTGTCCCCCGACCATTGCTGAGAATTTTGGACTGTATCTCAGTTAACTTTAGGAGACACAAGATGGCTACACGACCTACTTGCGTTCAATCTGTCCATCTCCCAGGACCGCGTTATGCGACACGCGACACGCAACAAGAAACTCTGTCTCTGTCGCACTCTATCGTAGAAGGCTAGTAATCTCACAGGACTGGTAATATAGAGGGCCTTTTTCAGCGGCGGCAAACTCCTAGACAATAGCAATTAGCCTTCGGTCCTGGTGTGAAGCCGTGAGGTTTTGAGCAAGCGTCGCTTCAAGTTGTGGTGTGCTTGGCTCGATTTCGACCTTTGATCGCAAGGCTAGGTAACAGCGAACGATGACAGTACTGAAGGGGGAGCAAATGCCCGTGGCCTCGTGGGGGGCTGCTCTAACTAGCATCATTTGGGGCCTCTGCATACGCTCCAAGGATGTTGCAGAAATTCCTTCAGCCCAGCCATCCAGGTTAGATGTTTATTAATAAGTTACATTAACTCGAGTGATTCATTATATACCCACCCCATCATATGTGTAGCCGCCCATCATCATAAAAGAAATATTCATACAGTCCAAGTCCAGTCCAGCCATCAGTGGTATCATATCGCAACGCTAAATCTGACAACTCGTTGCATGCTTCGAAGAAAGCCTGTCCCTGAACTGGACCAAATCCTCCAGTAAGTAGAGTGTGAAACGAAGGGGCAAAAGAAAAAAAATATGAAGAAAAAATCCATCAATGAACGTTCGTTACAACCTCCTCAGAAGGCATCTTCAAAGGGGCAGTCTACGCTCTCGTGCCCGTCGCGCTCGCAGAGTGCACACCATCTATTCACATCGATGACGCCGCTCTCCTTCCCAGCCACAGGCCCATCGATGGAGGGGTTGGGGAGGATGGATACAGGGGGCGCACTTGGCTTCTTGGCTGGCGATAGAGGAGCGGGTCTGTAGTTCTCCATCTTTGGCGGGTATGGCTTCAGGCCTTCCCGGGAGATGTCCCTGCCATTACGCGAGGGCGCAGGCGGGTTCGGGTTGTTCGCAAGATGGGATCTGGTGTTGTTGCTTGTCGCTGACTTTGCGCCAAACATGTTTGTACAGGTGAGAATATCGTGTCCGCCGGTCTCGCAAATCTCACACCAGAGGACACTGCCCTCGGTCGTGGCGGAGTATGTGTCGCTTTCTGCCATCGTCTCGAGGGTATTGCCTCTCCTGTGGGTTTCGGGTGATCCCGTTGGCCTGTCGCGCCAGCTTCCGACAGAGCTACAGACGTCCTTGTTGAGTTGCTTGTCTGCTGTGACAGTGCCAGTGCTTCCAATCGTGATTGCGCTGGCACGTTGGTTCTTCAATGAGCCGACTGTGCTGCCTCGCTTGAGTTCCTCCAATTCACGCTGGAGCTCTTCCTCGCGGTTAGATTTTGACTCGACTGTGCGGCGAAGCTCAGTAACCTCATTCTCTAAAGCTTCACGCGCCTGGCGGTCCTCTGCAGACTCGGACAATCCTTGGCTTTGGCGTTTGTTACGACTACCAACGCTGCCGTGTCGCTGTGTAGGGGTCCTTTGCGAGTCAGTGTCAGGTACTTGGTCGCGACTCAGAGAGTGAATGATTGCTTTCAGGCCCCTGATTTCGTCGTCACGCTGTTCCAGTTCCTTTGATCCCGAGGCTTCGTTTTGGCGTGGCGCTTCTTGCTGAGCAGCTGCTGCTTTCTCACGTTCTCGGCGCAGCTCTGCACGACCGCGCTCCACCTCGCCTCGCAGGAACTCGACTTCCCCACGCGCTTCTGATTCTCCGCGCCGAGCATCCTCCAGGCCTTCCTCGAGCTCCTGAACAAGCTCTTCTAGCTGCTTCAGTTGAGCTGCGACGCTGTGCACGTCATCACTTCGGTCTTGATGCTCTCTGAGCTCCTGTACGAGGTCCTCGACCCGCTTCTCGTAGACACGTTCCGTCTCATTACTCGCCATCTCCAGCGTGTCGATCGTACTCCTGAAATCCGCTCGGTGTGCATCGAATTCCGACGTAAGCATGGCGATCTTCTCGTTCTTCTCGCGCAGCAGCGTTCGCAACTGTGAAGTATCCCGATCCTCCATGCTACCCCTGTTCTTGCTGCCAGCATCCGAGCCACCCATTAATGACTGAACTTCAGCCAAGCTGTTCTCCATCTCAGCAAGACTGGTCGCCTGTTCCTTCAGCTGCTTGTCCCGTTCCTCCAACTGTGTTCGTAACCTTTGAAGGTCCTCTTCATGTTCTTTTGCTCTCGCCTCAGCAGGACGCAACTTGGCATTGAAGGAGGAGGTCGAGCCTAAGCTCTCGTTATTATTTGTGGTCCTGGCAGTGCCGATTGGTGTAGTTTCATCGTCGCTGTAGTTCATAGGCGCGCCACCAAGGGCAGACGCACTCCTCGGTCCGACGCCCGATTTTATAGGGTTCCTCGGGGTGAATGCGAGCTTCTTTGGCGGGTCTCCTGCTGTGTCTCTTGTACCTCTCACACTCTGTCCGAACTTCGCTGGCGACGGGCTAGGCGCATAACGTGGAGCGCCCTTGGGACCAGGTGTAGCGCTAATCGATGGCCTCGAAGCCTGTGGCAGTCGCAAAGGCGATTCAGGTCTGGGGAGTGATGGCCTTGATCTTTTAAACTGCGGGCTTGGAGCGCGTCCAGGTCCTAAAGATTGGCTGAAGTTCGGAAGCGACGGAGTTGGAGGTGTATATGTTTGGTACCCCTGGCCTCCGCGACTGCTCCCCGGTGTCGTCGGTGTGTGAGGGAACGAGCTTCCAGATGTCGATCGTGAACTGCGGCGAGTGGCTCTCGCTACAGGAAGAAATATACCTGCGCCCGGTATGGAGGTCTTGAAGTACGAAACACTAAATAGGAGTCAGTGGCCATCGTTTGCGACACGGATCAGTGGGCTTACCCATCCACATCTCCGTTGTTCTTGCCCCTTGAAGAGTACTCCTCGCTCAGCTCTACACCTGCGAATACGCCTTTCTTGCCTGCCACAGTTCCCAGGAACTTCACAGTTCCATGCATGTGCCCAGGTACGTCCACCAGCTCGCCAACCTCCACCTCGCCCTCGTCGCCCCTTGGTGTATGTTGTGCCATATTTCCCTGTCCCTCACCAGCGAGAGAATCCTCGTCCAGTACCGTACTCAATCCGTAAGTTTCACTGGCATCAGGGATGGTGGCCAAAGAGCCCTGAGTAAGGGCACTGAGTGATGTCTTCCGGGCCAGGAGGCCAGCGACCCTGCTGCCACCAAGAGTGGGTACTGGCGGGGCAGCGGCGTTGGAATATGCACTGGAAAGATTAGGAGTCGAAACTGTATTAATGCCGCCGGAAAATTTGGTCAGAGAAGGTCGTGGTCGGAGGAGAGTGCGGCGCGGCGTTGGGGGTGTTTGGGTCGACATGGAGAATCGTCCCTATTATTTATTTTGCCGGTCACCGTTTGTTTTGGGTTCGCGCGTCGGGGAGGCGGTACACTGCCGTCCACACACCACTACAACGGGGAAAACGTGATCAAAGTTCCCGCTGTGGACGCAAGGAGGAATGCCAGGACCCGTAACTACAGTAACTCGCAAAAACAAAGGAAATAAAAGTGGTCGTGGTCGTGGTCGTCGTTGTCGTCGTCAATGCTATGAACAGATCGTCCCATTCAGCAGCAATGTTTGCTTTGTTGTTGTTGAGCTGAAGGGAAAGGTTCTTTTTCCTCTTATTTACTGTACAGTACATGTTCGAGGTAACGCAGCACATGCAGGAGGGCGGCACGCACCAAGAAGTAATTGGCCCCTGCCCCTGTAGCTCACCGCCAAGTGCCAAAGAGGAAGTCATCGTCGGTCAGCATATTTCCGTCTCAGAACACTCATATCCTCCTCTTACACTTTTAGCTGCAGGACTTACGACTATGCCAAGGAAGCGGCTCTGGGATGGAGCGGATTTGAAGCACGAAAAAGGAGGTTGGTTCCAGACACAATCAAGTTGATACTTTTTTCTGCGGCTGATGGCCTTAAAGTTCAATGATATCCATCATGGCTAGAGGTTGCGACCCATCATGCAGGACCATGACCTCCCGATTACGCCTCCGTAAACGACGCTCTTCTGCACTCTGCTCAACAGGCCTCCTCGAGTCTCTAGCGACCTCGCCGGTGCCATTGTTAGTTGCCGCAAGTACCTCTTCCAGACTATATGTGACAACATCCCCACTAGGCCCAGTAGTCTGCCAGTACGGCGCCTCACGATTGTCACCATAAAGACTGTAGCCCTTATTAAACCCAACTACATGTATAGACTCAGGCCGTTCAATCAGACCCGTAGCGACAAGCTTCTGAACACCTAGCTGTTGCCCAGCTAACTTATGGACGATGTTCGAGAGCGGATTGCCCCGTCTCGCATCCGCCTGGAGGCGATATAAACAGAGAAAGCTCTTTTGTATCTCCTCGGGTGTGCTGCCCCAATTCTGGCGAGCAAGCCAGTGTTCAACAAAGCCTGTCTTGGCCAGGTATCGCGCCGATTGATCGCTGATCAGTAGCTCCAGCGTCATCAGCGCCACGTTCTCGGCCGGGTCGCGGAAGTCGAAGTCGTCGAACTCGCAGTCGTAGAGGGGGTAGTCGATCTCCATAGCTAAGTCCTTGAGCGCTGTGACAATCGCCTTGATGACACTGTGGTGGTAGACATCGGCGAGGGAACCTGTAGTACTGCTAAGCAAGGAATTCTCGGTCATTATCAGGGTTTAATTACTTTCGCCACAGATCAGATGAAGAACCCGCAGGGCTTTCTCCCGTCTTTCGGGGTCCTTGCTCGTAACCACCCACAGTAAACCACCGATGGTATCAACATCGTGGAGAGCCCTATCAAGAACAATCCGTGATGCAACTCCTTGTATATCCTTGTTATGACTGCTGATGAGCTTCTCGAGCGTGCTGGGCATCAAAGCATCCTCGGTCTTTTGGTCGATGTATTGCGTCTTTGGCGCTGGCTGTTCGATTTCAGCAGCGTCACGAAAGGCGATGAGCATGTACCGCATAAGCCCCAGGGCTGCAACGACGGACACGCCCAGTCCTATAACCAGGATTCGGTTCTCGCCTGAGATCTGGGACGCCATATTGGAGAGACTACATGCGCTGTTGGTGGGTAGTGAAGACTCGTGAGGACTTCAGTGATCGATGAGTGAGGCACTGTACTGTTGAATAGGGAAGGCAAGGCTGACGACAAATACATCGCTATGACGAGTTCTGCCGCCTTCACCGCCCCGATAAGTGCTGGGTTCAACTGGATGCAGTACTAGTGTCGCTAGCGAAAACTCGCTTACAGCCGGTGCCAGTTTGTCATACAAATATTTAAATTGTCTGGCTAATTTAAACAAACAAGACAAACTCCAGTGACGCGTTAGTACCCCAACTGCCCACTGCCTTCAGATTACTGAATGCTAACGTTTGTTTCCACAGAGTGGTTAGCGTGTCGTTCTTATATTCTGCGGCGCAAGCTGCCTAATATGATCTTTCTTCGTAGAGATGCGAAAGTCGTGGGTTCGACACCCACCTGGAGTATATCTTCAGATTACACCTATATTTTTTTTTTTTTTACCTTTTATATCTGACTCCATCATGCCTTACTTACAATATACAACCTACAATTAAATGTTAGTAGACAGGAACGACGTACCTGTGAGGTTCATACTAAACTTTTGTGCCCGTATATATCGCGTATCCTCCTCGCTCTTTGCCATGCCAACATAGATTTGACAAAAAATGCTGAAAGAGAGGGAAAGCCACGATTTTACAGAAATTTCTCTCCCCCCAAGACACGCAGATCCACTCAGCTAGTAGGGATGGTATGTAAGCTCCACTGTAATTTTGATACAGTGTGCTTCAGCCATTAGCCTCCTTCCAGCGGCTGATAGGCTTGCTACTCTCAAGAGTGTGTTCATGCAATATCACGATCTTCGTATCACAACAGGCAAAGTGAACTTCAAAATTGTTTACGTTCACCACAAGTCTCTAGTATTCCCTTGCTATTCAATATCTCCTCTCCAGGAGTAGGGTATCTACAGAAACCGCCCATCAAACACCACGCGCCTTCCCCCCATTCCACGCTCACTTCTTCGACTTCTTCCTATGCTCCTTCTCCCTCTCGTACTGCTTCGACTCTCTCCCCTCCTCGCCCTGAATCTCCGCAATAAGTCTCTTGTACTTTTTCTCATACGCAGCATCGCGCTCCTTCTTCTCCTTAAGGCTCTCACGAGCAATGAAGTTCGCGTCCTTGCGGAGCTCGCGCATGGCGCCCTTGCGCTCGCGCTTGTGCTCAGCCTTGAGCTTGGAGGACTCGGCACGCTCACGGTCAGGATCGTAGTGCTTGTCGGGGTTGAAGGACTCCTCGAACTTAGGTATGGAGGTCTTGATGGCGAGGGGTTTGTGGTGGTGGAGCTCGAGTGGGCGGCGTGAGAGGCGCGCCTGGTTGAGTAGTAAGGTGAGCTTGGTCGATGTTCTCGTCACACAAGCCTGGGAACACGTTAGTGAGGTCCTAATTATGTTTTACAAATTGGGTTTTTAGCGTAGAAATGTTTGCATCACGATGGCTGCGCGTCCGGTACGAAGTACGGATTTACGGCACACCGGCCCATTCGGCGCTGCTGCTTGGTCACCCTCAACGAGCCCCAAACCCTTGCGGGTAAGGGTCTCAAGTATCGAGTGGCAAGCTCAATATAAGCACATCTTCGGCGCAACAACAGTCATAAGAAGGACCGAATTGTAATTTGACATCCGTGCTGATTTTTTTTAAAAAAATACAAATTGAAAGGAAAGGGAGAGAGGAAATATTTGAGCATACAGTAGTGCTGCGTGGGAGATGTTCACGGCATGCCTTGCTTCCCAGGTGTTTCAGAACTTTCAACGCAGGGGAGAAGGTCTCTGGGAACCCAGACTTTTCAGTCCAGACATCTGCCGCTGCATCGAAAAGCTTGATGCTTGTTTCCAACAAGGCGGCTTTGAGTTGGTTTTCATCCTCTGGTGAGAGATATTGGATCGAGCAGTCCATTAGAGTCAACATTCTTGTCTTCTGTTCTGGAAGTGCGTCGAGACGAGAGTCGAACTTTGGCTCGTGGTAGGGGAAGTTGGCTGGAACATTACCCATCTTTGTAGGCCCAAGGGCACACAACGTGTTTAGGAGGAAGGCGCCGACTTCGGGGACGTATCGCTTTGAGAAGTTTTGATACTGGATCGCTAGTGTAGCTAGATACATGCCAGTGGCATAATCCGAAAGATTCTGAGGAATCCTTTGGCCAAGGAAGCGGCCAATGCTCAACATCGCGGGAGTAACTGCTTGGTGGAAATGATCCGAAGTTGGGAAGATAGTGCTGATGGCAGTGAGAAGCACCAGATCTCCGCGGGTTGGTGCCAGAGCACGAGTTTCGTGGAGCTCTCCCAAGTGTTTGCGGAAAGCATTCGCAGTGCCGATGGGGTAGGTCTTTGCCAATGAATGGATGTGTCGAATGACTTGCTCCAGGACATCAAATGGTGGGAGTTCCGGTTGGTTCGCAAGGTATGATACATGGTCAACAAGAGCAACCGTAAACTTGGTGAGCTTGCCCTTATTCTCGGCCTTCAGCTTCGGATGATAAAGAGCTCTTATCCTCCTCACCACTGTAGGTAGATCTTGGATGTCGGTTGATTTGGTGATTTCGAGTAGCATAGAGTGGTCCTCTGGACACGGAAACGTATATGCAAGGTTTCCATTGACCCCATTGTTCGTCGGGAGGTCCCTGTCAGGAATCGGTGCATTCGCTCCTGTCAAAAATTCAGGCCTTTTGGCCTCCTCAGTTGTAAGAAGACCATCCAGGAAATCATCCGCAGGCTCGTCCTCTCCGTCATCTCCGTTTTCAGAAGCACTTTCATCTTCGGAGATATCGGCATCGGAGCCACTTGCTATTAAATCATCATCAAGAACGAAAACATCCTCGTCTTCAACCCCTAACTCCTCATTAGTTGGCCGGCTGGGCTTAGCTTGAATGCCAGCACCCAAGCCAAATTCGTCAACATCCTCTTCATAGACATCTTCATCCCCTTCAGGAGCCTGTGCATTAGGCTTGGCTTCCTCCTCCTCTTCCTGTTTTCCCTCCATGCGACGCAGCCTCCTCTTCTCCATATCCTGGAGTTTTCTAGCTTCGTCTGCAAGTCTTTCCTCGTCTGTCTTTGAGCGTTCTGTTGGTACCGACTTCTTGTCTTGAGCCAACTGGCGCAGACGAAGATCATACTCTTTATCGAACTTAATCTTGTCCGTACCATTTAGTAGCGCTGCCCTATCTGGGTTCATTCCAGCGACCTCGGCCGGCCTTGGCGCAGGTGGACGTCGGACTCCTCTTAATAAGGCCTGAATCTCAGCCATATCTTTGTCCAGCTCTTCTCGGATATCCTCATCGTCATCCTTTCCTTGCTGACGTTCATATTTGTGGAGTTTGGATTTGGCAATAAGTTCCTTCATAACTTCTTGCTTGGACTTCTTACGTTCTGGCAGGTCCTCTGCATCTTCATCCTCTGAAGCGCCTGCGTCTGAGCCCCTCCGCCTCTTTAACGTTTGGCGTTCTTCGTCCGATGGATGATCTTCGGCGTCAGACAACTCCAAGTCGTCTTCTTCAAAGTCGTCTGCAAAATCGGGTCCATCGAGAGACAGAGATTTCCCCATATGGGTAAGGCCAAGTCCATCTCCGTAATCATCGTCTTCCAAATCAAACGCGGAGCTATTCTTGTGTCGGCTTTGGATTTCCTGTGTGAATCGCTCCAGCATCTTGTCCTCAGGTGCCATAGAAGAGTCGTTCTCTCCGAAACGTCGATCCATGATCCCTCCAACTTTATTACGTCGTTGCATCTCCACAAGAAGAGTTCTTCGACGGTTTTCCTCGCCCAATCCCTTCGTCACACCAGGTCGGTTCTTCACACTCTTTGATCCTGATGCGCCGCCGACTGTTCTCGAGTTTGTAACCTCGAACTTCGGACCCCTTGCGTTTGTTTTAATTTCGAAGGGATTGAATTGCTCGCGGATGCCAGTAAGAGCGGCGGTCCGGTTGACCCTCTTATCCTTGTTCGTGCCATTTTGGGCATTTTTTCTCTTTTGACTTTTTGATTGCTGAGGTCCCACGATACCCTGCTCTCGGAGAGAAGCCTTAAGCCTCTTGAGCTGAGAAGGAGGCATTGTTGTGGTGGGTGGTGATTTGCCAGTCAGACACAGAATAAAAAAAATGCTCAGAAATCTTTATGGGCGATTTTATCAACTTTAGCGCGTTGCAGGGGTACCTGCAGCCTCGCGACCATGAAAGGAACAACCATCAGCCTTGCGACAACTAAGGTGAAATAACTAAAGCCGCAACGCATCAACTCCAATACCTAGGAATAGATCGCCATTAAGTGCGTCGAGTAACTGTACCTTTGGTGCTATTTTTTGTTACGGTGGGACTGTATTGCGCCTCCTGGCTATTCAAACAGAACGAATGAGCGACACTCCAGCCTCGTAACGAGCCCATACTTTACGAACCTTACGTTTTGACATAAAACATCTTCAAACAAGCACCCGTTGCATTTACTATCCGCAGTACAGAATGGCAGCCTCAAAATCTCCCTGTGCAGCTCCTCAGAGCCCCGAGGATGACGAGGATGACTACATGTCTATGACCATCGCAGAGCCCACAGGCCCAAAAGTCAAAGAAACATACACGCAACGCCGCCACCGCCTGCAACGCGAAGCAGAAGCACGCGCATACACCAAACCCAAAGCTGAGCGCGAAGCTGACGAAGCTGCCGCCCGAGAAGATGCCCTTCAGAGATCGCTATTGTCTCACCCGACGACACAGAAGTCCAAGGGTTTAGCAATGATGTCAAAAATGGGGTTCACGCCCGGAAAGGCGCTGGGCAAGGGAGTCAACGCTGATGCGCGGACTGAGCCGGTGGGTATCAGTATTAAGGAGGACAGGGGAGGAATAGGTATGGACAATGAGAAGAAGCGCCGGTTTAGGGAGGAAGTCGAGAAGGAAGGGAAGAGAGTTAAGGCGGATGAAGGAGAGTATCGAGAGAGGGTCAGGCGCGAACGCGAGGAAGGTCGCCTGGAGAGCTTAATTGGCACTGCAATGAGAGTAGCAGAGCGTATGACTAGTGAGAAAGAAGAAGAATTGAGCACAGGTGGGGGTGGCGACACGGCGCTAAAGAAAGGTGCTCAGAGATCAAAACCGCTGAAAACTATTAACATACTTTGGAGGGGCCTAGTGAGGAAAAGGGAGGAAGCAGAGAGGGATAGGAGGATGAGATACGATTTGCACCAAAGTCTTTCCAGGCTACCGACCTATGATGATGACGACGAGGATAAAGATGATAAGAAGGCCGTGGGAAAGACTCCCATACGGTATTCCTTGGTCGAAGATCTGGAGGAAGATGATCCAGAATTGGAAGAATTCAATGGCTTGGAGCCAATGGAGAGGTTACAGAAGATTGTCAATTACTTAAGACAAGAGTATAACTACTGCTTCTGGTGCAAATACACATATCCCGACAAGGACATGGAGGGATGTCTGGGGTTGACGGAGGAAGACCATGATTGATGAACAGAAGATACCATAGACACATCGAATACGTTACAATATTACATGTGCATTAACAAATTCCAATGCCTACGTGAGATCCTATCCGTCTAAAAAGGATTATAAAAAGTCTTTTAGATATGGTTGAGATTAAGGTGGGTATCATTGCTCAATATATGTTTACAAATGTCTATCTTACACAATTACAGCTAAGGGACCCAAGGCAGATTCTCGGGCACTCCCATCTCCTGGGCTGCAGATCGTGCCAGATAATCCACACCTCCTACTCCAGCTTCCATGCGCAATTCTGAGGCTTCTGATGCCATCCTTACTTCCATCGTAGAGCGTAGCAAAAGGCACAGTAGTTTCAGCGACTCTTCTGACTTATCTTCCTTGCTCATAGCTTCGACATCAATGCCTTGATCCTGAAGCTGCTTAGTCCTATCGTCCTTCAAGGTCTTGAGTACCTTCCCGACGTCACTAATTCTGCGCTGTGTATCTTTATTCAGATTCAATCTGCGAGGCCTGTAACCTGCAACATTCTTCACGCCGGCCTTTGCAATCTGTAGGACTATGCTTCGAACAGTCGCTTCGTTCGGATACATTCCGTACAGCCTCTGCATCGCCCGAAGTGCCACTGCTGTCCCGATTTGGTCATCCGCCAGACCAAAACAGAGAATAATTTGGTCGTACATTTCCCTTGCCAGCTTTTCGTTTTTCCAGGTCGACGATTTGTTCATCTCAGCAAATAAGAATCTAGGTGACGGGTAACCAGCTTTCGAACGGTTGATTAACGGATCCACATGATCCTTCATGCTCTTCCACAGAAGAGCAAACGTGTACTGGCTCGGCACTACTCTCTCTTGCTCCACGAAGCGGACATAGAGGCTCCAGACCCATGGGCGATGGTGCATGGCTGTACCAAGCTCCAGAAGGCTGTTGAGAAAGGCGGTATTAGGCTTAATCTCTGCTGCCTTAATCGCACCAAGAAGCTCCTGGACACGGTCTTTTTGACCGAGTTGCTGATAGTGATGAATGAGAACGGAAAATGTTTCCAGTGACGCTTGGGCTGAGACAGCAATAGATGATGGACGAATAAAGTCGTCCTTTGAAGTCTGGTCGAACCTGGCTCGCACTGGGCCTTCCAAGTTGGATGTATAACGGTGCGACCTGTAGCGAACAAATTCGAGCCGTGCCGCGATCATTTTCCAAGCCATGGTGGTGCCTTTCTTTTGGTTCTCAGCGCTACCAGTCCGGAACCAAGCACCGATTATTCCATTCAAATAGGTGGCATCTGGCCTTATATCGCGCTGTGACATCAGTTCAACGACTTGAGAGGCCCAATCAATTTCATCGTCCCCAACGAGTTTCTTTATCCAGCTGCCAAAGAAGAACTTGTTTCGAAACTTTGGCGGCAAGACCGTGAGAGGATTGCTTCGAGTCCAGCTCGTCTCTTCTGGGCCGAGCTGGAAAGACTCCAAGGGTCGTGTACCTTTCAATCCCACAAACCGCGGATATAGAGCTAGAGAATCATAGCTCTTGGCCACGGGGTCGTCTGTTAACATCATATCCCTGAACACAGCCAACGCTAGATCAGTTCGGTTTGAAGTTATAAAAATACCCGCTACAGCATCATAATCCTGCATCTTCATGCTGCTTCCCATCCAAAACTTCAGCCGGACATACAATGCCCAAGCCATCTGAATAGCAGAACTGTCAGGATATTCAGACCATGTTCGGATGAGAGTGATGAGGGCCCTGCTTTCTTTCACGGCCTTCAGGTCATTCAACAGGACATCTGCTGCTTCTTGCGCTCGAGCTGGTTGCTTGGATGTCGCTAGCATCACAACGCCCAATGCCCAGTATTGGATCGCAGTTGCTTCAACAAGCGTTAATGACGACCGAGCCGATTCCCATCTCGCCAGTGCATCCTTCTGATTTCCCTCGACGAATATTGCCTCAATATAGAGCAATATCTGCTCTGGTTTGAGGGGCCTGTTGGCAGCTTCCATGTCGTTGCCCAACTGTATGACATGTGCCATCCTATCGGGATTATCCAAAGCTTCAACAGATAATTCTTTCCAAAGTAGTTTCCAGGTACTCATGGGAACCTCCCCCCATGCAGCACAGAGCGTCTTTCTGCTGAGTGAATACCACCTCCATAATTCCTTCCGGTTTTTGAAGGGCGCCGTAAGGGCTTTTTCGAGGGACTCGTTCAGACGGGATATATAGGCCTGGCCTTCTCGTGGGAACGAGTGCCGCGGTATTGAAACGTCGACGTCTGCAACTTCTATGGGTTCTATGGCTGCAGCTTGTCGCTTCTGCTTGCCCCGGCTCGGTTTGGCAATTCGTGTGCCAGAGCTGTCGATGGTTGCCGAACTTTCAATGGCTGGTGCTTTTAACTCCTCTCCCAAGTGTTTTCCGACCGCCCGGCGTAGAGAATCGACGAATTTCAGTTTATCTTCCAACGTTCCCTCATGGGAACCCTTCACGCTCTCCGACAGTCTAGCGAGCTCATCTTCATGGTCTTTTTGTTTCAAATCTAGCCCCTCAAGTATGTTGTCATCTTCTCGAGTATTAAGTGGCGCAACTCGTCCATGTTCGTCCTGCTCGAATTGGCGGAAACTAACAGTCTCTTTATTTAACCTGGGTTGTTCAGGCTTCGTGGTAATTGGTGTCTTCTGAGGGGGGTTGTTGCGTCTTGATGAGATGGTTCGAACCGATGAGGGAAAGTACCGTGGGTGCTGTAGTTTTGTTATACACGATGGGCAGACATATCCCCTGCCTAATGCAGATATGGGTGGTCTTAATGGTGGCATAAGTCGTGCTGTTTGTGTTTTGTCGTCGCAAAATCTGGACGGGGTTCATCTATAATTATTTTAGGAGCACTGGCCACTGGGCACTGGAACGCGACCCAGCATTTATCTTAGCGGAACGCGTGCGTTCCCCGTGATCCATCCTATGGACAACCACATATGAAATGTCAGTAGACGCCAACCAAGCTGCTCTTGATAGCACTGAGCATCAGGTATATATATAATATTAGCTCTGTCGAATAGGTCTAACGTCACAAACAGACCGTGTATGTTTTTGGACCCTCCAATGGCGCCACCCATGAGCAGCCACGACCATCAAAGAGGCGGAAGGTCGCTAAGAAGCCCAAGGAGGGTGAGAAAGGTGACCCCAAAGCCTACTTTCCAACCCTTTTAAACAATACCGAAAGCTCTGAATGTGTCTTATTACGGCAAAAGCTTTATGAAGATTCGTGGGCCGCCATAGAGTCGCAGATATTGGTTAGCCGGCCCGCCCATTCCACTTATCAAGAGTCCTACTTACCACGTGCTTCCAGTCAATCCTGGGTGAAGCAAATGAAAAGACTCTCTCGGAAGTCACTAATTTTCTAAATCTATCCATAAATTCAAAGTAAGAAAACCCTCCGTTGTCCACGATGTGGCCGCTAATATCTGTGAAGAAACCTCGAGGGCATCCCAACTGGTTTAATCACCACTGGGCAAAACACGGCTTCTCAGGAACTTTTATTTAGCCAGCTCGCAGAGCGTGTCCACGGTGAAACTGACGCTCTCATTGTTACGATTCGACCCGGAGATGCGAGTAACCTCAAAGCTGCCCTCAAGAAGCTAATCCGCGATGCGACAAATACTGACCACGACGACGAAGATGAACGATCCGCATCTTCGGTCCCGGGTGTAAGTTCACATGATCCATCTCAGTTTTATCTGGTGCAGAAAGCTAACAGTCACCAGGACCATAAATTTCTTAATTATGACCTGCAGCTGCTTCAAAATCATTTGAAGACGTCCAAGCATAGACAAGTTGTAGTTGCCTTTCAAGACAGCGAATCATTTGATAGTACCCTTTTAACGGAGTTGATCGAACTGTTCCAGTATGTTATTCCTTTGCATTATTTAACAGATGTCTGACTATTTTAGGTCATGGGTGGAGTGTATACCCTTCGTGTTACTATTTGGAATAGCAACGTCCGTCGAGCTGTTCCATGAAAGACTTCCTCGATCAGCGACATTATGCCTGCAGGGCGTTCAATTCGATGTTGAGCAGACCTCCAAAACCCTCATAACGATATTTCAGAAGGTCATTGCCAGTCCTGATATACGTCTACGTCTTGGGGGGTGCTTCATAGCGGCGCTCCTGGAACGCCAACATGATCAAGTGTACAGCTTGCAAACATTCATAGCTGCTTTAAAGGTATGTGTACTATGCTACCGGTATATTGATTATCATGGGGCTGACCAGAAACTACAGTATGCATACATGTGTCATTTCTATGCCAACCCTTTGAGCATACTTTTGGGCAGTTCTAATGATCTCGAGCGCACCGTAGTGCCGCTGCTTCAACCAGAGCATGCGAAGGCAATGCGTATGCTTCCATCATTCAAAGCGATGGTAGAGCATCGCATTAAAGAAGGCGACGTAAGGGGCTTGAAGGATTTGATCAATTCGGACGAAGAGTTAGTTCAGCTCGCGGTCAAAACTCTTCAAGAAAAGGATCTTATGATATTTACCAATCTGAGGCGGCTCGCAGCTCTCCACGGAGTACTATTGATCAGCACAAGCACTCCCACTGATCCGACAGAACTGTACGTCAAGTTCTTCACTGACAAATTCCGCAAATCAGACTTCATTCAGGACGCAATCAATTCCTGCAAACGGTATGCTCCAGCAGAAGTTATTGCATTGGCTATTGTTGTACGGGGGATCCTTGCGAGGGATAGTGACACAGGTGAGACCGAAAGTTATTCGGCCTTTGAGGACGAGTTTCTGGAGGCGATATCTGCCCTTGAGGACAAAACAGCTTCATTGATACATGAAGCCGAAGAATCTGGGACGCCTCTCCAAAGCAGATATATCATGCAAAGCCAGACTCTACGAACAACTGTCGTCGCCCAAAAAGTACAGCTCAGCAAACGAGAGTATATTCTTTCCAAGGAGGACGCTGCATTCACCTTGGTCATCGACAAACTCGCAAAAAGCCTAGAGCAGTATTTCAGTTTCGACTCACTGCAAGACCTGTTCCTCAACGAAATCTGGATTTACGACTCGAAATCCCCATATCGAGAAGTCTTCACGCCACGGCCACGCCACGCGATCGAGCGAGCGCTGTCGGTTCCCCATGACTACCTGGGCTGCACGTGCTGCAAGGCCGCTGGCGGCCTATCTTCCTCACACCCTGCAACGGCTACATTGTACCAGCTTTACCTGGAAACAGGAGGGCTCATCAACGTCTTTGACTTATGGTCAGCATTCCACACTATAGTGGGTGCCGATGATGACGAAGAACGAGACGAGAGGAGCTGCTTAATGCTGTTTTACAAGGCGCTGGCAGATCTGAGGCTGCTTGGAATGGTGAAGAATAGTAAGAAGAAGACGGATCATTTGGCGAAATTGTCTTGGAAGGGGCTTTGATATCTATTTGTTTAATGAATCATTTCCTAACCTCTTGTGGTCTTGTATTGCGGACCCCAAGTGTACATCAACATATAACTCCCGCTTTGCATCAAATTATATACAAGATGTTCAGAGCACTCTTTGTGAATTTATTCAGCAGACCCTGGCTGCTTCGCAACTGTGTTACCTTCACCGGTGTCTGACCTCTGGTCAGCACTGTCATTGCTTTGTCCCTTCTCTAATCGGCGTCGTTTATACGCGTCGCCACCCCACCCGTGTTCCAATCCAACTAGTTTACCACTAATTAAGCCTTTGACCGTGAGGACCATGTTCACAATCCAAATCATCACAAGAGTGATTGTGAGCGCGGTTGACCATATGCAGAATGCCGGCGAGTCCAACAATTTACCCAGTTGAATGCATGCATTTGTATAAACGCCCTAAAATCAATGGGTTAGCAACACTTTGATATTAAAGGCGACATTTGCGTCTATCAGAAGCTGACTCACCCAAGGGAACACAAGAGACCAAGCTCCCAACCCAAAATTCAATCCTCGCCACTCCCCACGCTTGTTGAAGCCCGAGTGCAGGACGCTTATGATGGCGAAAACCCACCAGAACGTGCCTTGGCCCCATGCAAGCAAGCCCGCAAACATACTCGCAAAGCCGATTGGGCCCGCCGCATCCATGGTGAGAAACACGCCCCGGCTGTATTTAGCAAAGCTCCCCCTCGTCACAACATCGCCCAGGATCTGTAACGCGAAGCTTCCTTGGCCCCAAGGTCCGCAGAGGATCATGTCTTGGTACAAGGTCGTCCCAACTGGTGAGGATTGGTCGAAAAGGCGGGCCATGAAGATTGTAGCAACGGCAAATGCAATGGGCAGAGCCATCCCGATGAGTAGATAGGATACGATAATGACAGGAATCTGGAGTCCTTCGTCTAGCTCGCCATATCGGCATACTACGCCTCCTCCTGCGGCAGCTGTGAGAGCTGCAATCACTGGAAGGTTTGCCACTGGGGATAATCCTCGGACCCCAGGAGCCTCATATTTCATAAAGACATAAGTGATCCCAATGCAAGCAACAACAGCCATGGCTGCGTTGATCCACCAGAGCACAAGCGTCGCCATGCCCCAGCCCGGTCCCCAGGCGTCAACTAGACTGAGATCCATCATCTGGATGATGCTGGTAAAAGTGATCGAGATGCTGGCAAGACATGCTGTCTCCCCTATTTCGGTCCTGAGAGTCTCGCCGACGACTTTTGGAAATATGACGATCTTGAGGGCGAATATGGCGAGTAGTAACGTCAGGAAAATGATGGTAAGGAGCCAGAATATGTAGGAAATTATATTCAGCCCGGTAAATTGGTATTTCAGCTGATGTAAAATGACAGCAATTATACCGGTCCCTTGTGGCACGAGAAACCACTATATTTGTTTTCAGTTAGTATTTACCGCAAATATTCCCTACAAAGCCCTTTTCCATATATTGAAACAATTTTGAAAGAGGGCCTCTTGTCGCTGCCATAGAAAATATATTAATGGAGCCCTACCTGTGTTTTGAAATTCCGAAATGCGACTGTGACAGGCGTTTCTTGCTTGGTCATGGTTGGAAGCGTTGCCATGGTCCGCGGAAATGCCGTATCTCAACCCTCACTTTTTGCCAGGCGCGGTAAAAACCCTTAACGTTTTGGCTTATGGATAGTGTCCAAAGACATCTGAGATTAAACTGATAGCGACAAGGTGATCCTATTCTGAAGTTTAACAAAATATTAAAGCCATAAAAGACATATTGCAATGTCGATCAGACCTGGTTGTTGACAAAAGCTATCACGGCATGACGTACCCGTGTAGCACCAAAACCGAGTTATTTTAACCACAGGGACTTTTTATGTACAAGTGTCCATCTCGGACATTCCGAGGAGTATATACATAACGCAAGGGAGCGGAAAAATTCTTGCTACAAAGAAAAGTGCTAATTATACAGCGAAATATGAAATAATCCAAGGGCTGCGAGCATTGGAAACTCGTGGCTGGAATTGCAGAAACGAATATTTCATACACAAGAGCTCTTCCAAGTTTTGAAAACCACCATATCACATCTAGACTTCAACTGCAGATCATATATTCCATGTATTGCTATGATCAACGCCAAGGGAATGCAATCGTGTTCATTTACGCTCCGCTCAAAGCCCCGAATTGCACCCGTCTTCAACCAAAACCGGGGTCTCCCAACACAACCGCCCTGCATCTGCATTCATAATTGTCCATAAAACTCCATGAGAAGTAAGGGTATCAAGCTAGGTCTCAGTCAGCATATATACACACAGTTTGCTCGTCCGCACACACATATCACTTCAGGCTAACGCCACCAATGCGTTTCGCCAGCCTCTCCTCGCTATCGTTTTCAAAAGGCGAGGGACGCTTTTGGGGACGCTCACCAGTAGATTGAAGAATAGCTAGCAATGTAGCCCATCCATCCGTACTAAGCAGCTGATACCCATCGGCAAGGTCGTGTTGGGTTGCAACACGGCATAGCAGCGCTTCCTCGTCCTGAACGATGTTAGCAATGTTCTCTCGATAACAAATTCAATGCACCTAAAGCCCTTACTTTGTTTAAAATGGCCATGTTACGCAAGAAACATAGGAGGTGGAAGTCCGAGACGGCCTCGATTCCCGTATCGGATCTCTTAAGCTGTCCGTCCGGTCGGAGGCCAATAGCCTGGCTAACGGACTTATATTCCTGTGACTCTCCGATCGCCTCTCGGTTCTCAACAGGGAAAGCAGAGGGTGGTGCGGTGAATGCTGGCTTGGGTTCTTGGGGGAAGCCATGGGTCAATGTAACAAGGAGATATTCCACCGGGAAGGACGGCTTGGCATTTTCCTGGACTGCGGCTCCATACTCGTTGATTTTGCGGAAGAAGACTTCAGGGATGTAGCGCGTACGGCTGACGGAGGCATCATCTTCCTCCTCGGCCCAGACTATCATAACCCCAGGGTCGGCTGAAGGCTCAACAATATCAGCTCGAATCATTTCGACTGCCGAGTTCGATGCTTGATATGCTGAAATCGAGATTTGGCCTTGTTCGTCACCAGTCACAACACACGTAACGAAGTTCGATCCAAAACGGCCAGTATCGCTCCATTTCGTCGGTTTGGGGTGCTGCGCTTGTAACCGTGATATGAATGCTATTTCGAGGGAAGACAGGAAATAGGAGTCGATATGCCTCTTGCATACGACAGAACCATCGCCTCCTCCGGAATCCAGCAAGTCAGTCCAAATGACACCAACCTTCTGCAAGCCACACAGACGTGCAACACCGTCTACGTCCTTCTCGTTGGTCCACTCATTCAGCGTAATACCGTCAATCTCGTCATGCTGCGGTGGCTCGTAGATCGCCTCTACGACTGCCTTGATTCCCAACGGCACCTTTGTGTACTCCTCGTAGCGGCCGTACATATACCCTAACCGCTGACCACCGGACTTGCGCCAATAGTCTAATAGCTTTTCAATCAGCGTTGCCGATGCAAACTCGACGTGGTCTACCATGCGAAACGACTGTGGTTGTAAGGTAATGGCGCTCGGTTGACATTTCGTGCAGATACCTTCTGGCCATTGGGGGTGCCCCGACGGACAGTCTGGCTTGACTCGATAGTACGGCTCGGTAAGAGGTGGCATAAATGAGGCGCCCAGCTCTGGTTTATTCGTCGCAGAGTTAATTTTTCGGAGATATGAATGGAAGGAAAGGTTTTTGATCTTCTTTTCCGCCAGGTAATCGGCGTTGAATGGGTCCAAAGGCATGCAATAGTCGCACATTCCTTTCGGGCCATGCCTGCACATTTTATGGTCTCTTTTCCGCTCAATCTTTCCATTTTGCTTGTCCAGTCTGTCGTCAAGTGCAGATTGCTTAACCACTTCCCATGGGTTCTTGATCTTCTGTGATGGTGATGTGACTGGAAGCGGAGATATTGGTATATCTTCTGTTGGTAGAATCGGGTTGCCATTTAGCCGATTTGTAGATGACATGGGATGTGAAGGTATGGAAACCGTAGCACTTCCGTTTGCAGCGCCATTCGTGGCATCATCTTGCGGCTTGTATGATATGAAAATAAGGTCGCCATGTCTGGTGGGCGGATGATCAGCGGGTAGTTCTTGTTTGTGAAAGTAAAGACTTACTTTAAGCCTATTTGTGATACTTTGAATTTCCCTATGTCCTTGATGGACTTCTTGTCACCCCCAGCGGGTTGGTTCGAGAGCGTCAACGTGGAGATGTCGGTGTTTGGTGGCAAGACTTCTGATAGCTGGCTGAAGTTAGTAATGGACGTCAAGATGGAATCAAGCTGAAATGCAGACCTTCAAACCTAGTTGGCCAAATGTTGTGCTTGGCTCCACTTCCAGTCGTACTGTGCCGTCCGGGCCACGAAATCGGAGCAGCATGTTGTTGGACGACTATAGCAATTAGTCTGGTACTGGTGTGTCTTCAAGAGTAAAGCTCAAGTAAAGAATGGCCAAAGGCGGTAGAATAAACTGGACAAATTCAAATGCTATGACTAACTGTGTTGTCCGATAGCATGAATAATTAACTTTTGAATCAGGTAGAGGGTGTTGGGAGCTAGAGCTCCGTAATCACTTGTATCACTGAATTTCCCCACCATGGTCCGTCCGGCCGGATTAACTTTTAACTTTAGGCTCCGTGGTAGTACTCGAGTAGGAGTGACCAGACTCACGCCAGCTAGGCCATTTTGGGATTTCGAAAATAAGTGTCCTGAACTCGCCTTCAATTTGGCAAAAGCGCGCCCACTTTGGAAACATCCATACGACAGGTGTTCAGAACCGCCCATATCGGATTCGGGTTACCTTTATGCTGCTTATTCTTTAATTATCTGAGCAATCTTCACGATGATTTCACTATCGCAAATATTCGACATTGACTGGGTCGGACTCTCTGTCCCTTTCGCATATATCATTGTCCTCGCTGGTTCTCTCATGACCTTCTCCTCCATATACAGAAAGCGCAAAGCTGGTAAGAACATTTACCTGCCTGCTTATATTGTGTGGGCATAACTAAGCATTCTGCAGTACAATCCGCGACGCTTGCACCATGGTTTCCCTCCCATCTCCAGCGAAATATATATCTGTCCTTGTTACACATGGAACCAGAGGACGGAAATGAGAAAGCTCCAAAGGTACCCGAGAGCGTACTGCGCGCAGCGCTTTTACGCAGAGCTGTGGAAGACATCCGTAGGATCATTCAAGTACGAACTGCGAAACAAGCCTGTAGCACCCTTTTACAACGTGGAAGTGTCGGAGACGACCTGTGGCAGCGCTTCTTGAGGGTTGAGAAGGAGATGGAAGATGAGCTCAGAGATGTGGTTATGGAGGTAAGGCTTGGTTGCCTCCTGTGCAAGAATATCGTACTAATGTCAATGCCAGGCAAATGCGCTCGCACCAAACTGGGGATTAACGATCTTTCAATCTGCGAACGAAATTCTAGCCAACACCGTTTTCCGTGAGAAGCTCGACGATATACAGGCACAAACCACGGCCGAGAAGGAGTGGTGGGAGAAGCGACGTGCCTCTATCGAAGCGGGCTTCATGAAAGAACTCGATGCAGCACCTTCTACGGATGCGAAGACAACCACTTCTGGAATCAAAACCACGAGCGACGAGGACTCCGTTGTTGTTGAGACGGCAGCGTCAAAGAAGAAGAAGGCCAACAAATGAAGATCGGGCTGGGCAGTAAATAGCACTGTATGTGTATGTTATGGGCATTGTAAGGCGTTTTCAGGGGTGGATCGACCTTATCTTGGTGGTTGGGAGTACCAGACAATACCTGGCTTTATGAATTTCTAGAAGCATTTTCTTTAACTTCAAAAGACAATATCTAATTTTGGCATATGACAAAGGAGTTGTCTGACTCGATTTGAAGCACGAGACAAGCCTTCTGGACCCTTCGGACAAAGAGTCACTGACAGCAATGTGCCTCATGTATAATACAAGTAGGTTTCCAACTGCCCTTGGAGTGCCATCTGGCATTCATGGTTGTTCTCTTTAGCACCTTATTTCTTAGTATTTCATTTGTCTTCTCGTCGCATCTAATATTGCTGCTGGCAGCTCAAAACTCTCACTTGAACCCATTTTCATAATCAATCACAGAAAAAAAAATCACCGCCTCAGCTCCGTGGTAGATCGACAGTGAATCACTCAGCCCACCGTCAAAGAATCACAGAACCGCCCATCCAGTCATTAAATATCACGCCAGAGTCCAACGGCTCCACCACTCTTTCAACCCAAACCCAGTCTACCTTGTCAGCCCGCATCAAAACCCACATCAAAGCCAACGAAGAAATCCAAAATGCTTTCGCGCATCTCAAGCAACCCAGCCCTCTCCTCCAAGATCACAGAGATGCGACTCCGCCTTTCGCCCCTCGTACGCATCACCACCGGCACTGTTCACCCCGCCTTCCCTCCAACGGTCCTACACTACTGGCTTCTCGTGGAGTCAGATCTAGATGACCTGGCCCACTTCTACCACCAGCGCACACCTTCTGTCTGGACAACTCAGTACCCTCAAATCATGGGATGGAGAAGCAATTTGACGTTGGAGGAAAAGCGGAGGAAGTGGGGGAAATTCATCGGTTTGCGAGGATGTGCGACTCCACAAGATGCCAAGACGGCCGACGAGATGTGGGAGGAGGCAAGGAGGGAGAAGTTAAGGGCAGAGGATGAGATGAGGAGGAAGAGGCACTGGTATTGAGGGCATCGCTGGGTCGTGTGCGAGGTTGCAATGCAGTTTGTGTGTCTGCGCATGTTTGGTTGAAATTTGAGGAAACCTTCACTGTCTTTTGCGATGGATTCATAGAAATAACAACTCAAATTCAACTAAAATATTAATATCACCATGCGATGTGGATAATTAAATGCCCCTTGAACCACCAGTGTTATAATTAAGAACAACATCGCGATTAGTCACGTGGCAGGGTAAGGTTGCCCACGAAACCCCGCGTCATCTTGCCGTTGCAGATATATAATTTGATAGCGACTTGACTCACCTTCAAAAAGCCAACAGCACTCAAAACTCCCTACCCTGCTCCCCAGAACAGCCAGGCCGGACAATATGGCGGGCATTCAAGATAATGCAGAGGGAGACCTCACTTCTCTGGTGCTCCACGCGCTCTATAAGCAGGACAACATCCTCTCCAGCGAGGCATTCCCGTCGCAAAAGTCGACCGATGTTAAGAGCGCATTAGACAGGCTAGCGTCGAGGTCTATGGTCACCTACCAGACGATCGATAAAGAAGAGGCGGTATTGGAGCCAGAGGGAGAAGATATTGTTACCAATGGCAGCCATGAGGCCCGTGTTTTTGAGGCTCTTAAGCAGGCAATGGAGGGCTTGACTATCAAAGAGTTGGAGGAGGCGGTGGGAGACAAGAATACAGTCAAGATCGGACAGATGAGAGCTTTCAAGTCGAAATGGATCGCAAAAGGAAAGGAGGGGCGTTTTGTCGCATCTGTAAGTATGCCTTTTTCATGGCGGGGTAATCGCCCACTTACACATTTCATAGACAGACTCAGTTCAAGACGAGACCAAGCAGCAATTACAAGTCGTTCAATTGATACGTACACACGGTGACCCAAAAATTCTGGCGGACCTGAAGAAGCGCAAGTTGGTCAAGATCCAAAAGGTTACCAGCTTCAAGATTAGCAAGGGCCCCAAGTTCGCGCTCGAAATAGTCAAGGAGGAGACGGATTTGACCGCAGACATGCTCGCATCGGGCGCATGGAAAACTGCTGCTTTCAAACCATACAACTTCAAGGCCTTGGGCGCGGATCAACATGCCGGTGCTCTACACCCCCTCAACAAGGTGCGCACCGAGTTCAGGCAGATCTTCTTCGAAATGGGCTTCGAGGAGATGCCAACGGACAAGTTTGTGGAGACTGGTTTCTGGAACTTCGATGCGCTTTTCGTACCACAGCAACACCCAGCTCGTGATCTCCAGGATACCTTCTATATCTCGGACCCGAAGCTGGCTGATAAGCCGCGCGCGGAGTCGGAGGACGACAGGGCTGATTACGAGAAATACTGGAATAACGTCCGAGAGGTTCACCAGCATGGAAAGTACGGCTCGATAGGTTACAGATACCCGTGGTCTGCGGACGAGACTCTGAAGCTGGTGCTCCGCACGCATACGACATCTATTTCGACGCACATGCTCTACAAGCTTGCGCAAACGAAGGGACCAGATGGAAGACCCCCACCAGCACGTTACTTCTCTATCGACCGTGTTTTCCGTAACGAGACCGTCGATGCGACGCATTTGGCGGAATTCCACCAGGTCGAGGGTGTTATCGCCGATTACGACCTTACCCTCGGAGGCTTGATGGAGTTCATGACCATCTTCTTCAACAAGATGGGTATCACTGACCTTCGATTCAAGCCGGCATACAACCCCTACACCGAGCCGAGTTTGGAGATCTTCAGTTTCCACAAGGGACTGAACAAGCTCGTGGAGATTGGCAACAGTGGTATGTTCAGGCCGGAGATGTTGGAGTCTATGGGCCTTCCTAAGGACATGAGGGTTTACGGATGGGGTCTGAGTTTGGAGAGGCCAACTATGATTCGTACAAAGTGTTCGAATATTCGTGAGTTGCTGGGACACAAGGTGGATCTCGGCTTCATTCAGAGGAGTGAGGCTGTGAGGTTGTCAAAGTAATCGAGAAAACGAGATGATGTGTTCAACGAATCTTTGGCTGTTGGAAGGGGGGGGGAAATAATACCATCACGATCATGATGAGCTTTGTGGCAAATGTGAACATGAGACATTTGTTGTGAAATGATAAATCAATAGCCGTCTTATCAATATGAATGGGGCCAATGCATCGATATGTCATGTTTAATGGATCGTGATCTCGATTAGGTTAAGATGAGGCAGAGGCTGGGAGACTCTTCCCCGACCATTACAGGTACAGCTCCACTTGAGCCTAAATCTTCAAACCCGCCCTATTATGAGCCAGTGAAAGACGAGGGAAAATTGGTAGGCTTCAATTTTTTAAGCCAGATGCAGGAACTAAAAAGTAGTTGAATGAAATATAGAAGTGGTATAATGTTTTGGCCGGATGCCGATTGTGGAGATCGGAATCGTGAATTTTGATAATTATTTCTCTAAAGGGTGCTATCACTCACACACTACCAGACAGGGACTAGCCCCCAAAACAGTTACTGTGTAGCATACAAAAAACTGGAAGCTAGTGCGATAGCGAGTTACCTGTGAGTCCTACCGAAATATTTTGGCGAATCCGTCGAAGCGTCACAAATCCTCAACCTGAACAAACTCCTCAACAACGGCCACTCCAGTGTCTGATTTTCTGGGCAACAGGAGCGACGACTCGCCCAGCGATAGAAACCTCTAGATCCCGTTTCTCAATTAACTTTTGAGAGACAGCGCCCAGCGCAATGGCTCTGTCCGGCCGACTCACCGGTCGAACATCCGCACTCCTCCGCCAATGTCGAGCCTCAGCGTCTGCCCCGTGGGCCTTCAGCACCCGGACTTCGACTAGGAGTCTGTTGATGAAGGCTCAGAGGCCCGTAGAGAAGAGCGCACAGTACCAGATCCGCCTGTTCTCGAGCTCAATTCAAAGGGCTGCGCAGCCAGAGCCGGCGGCGACTTCAAACCAGTTTATGCAGGATGGCGTCTTGAAGAAGGCCGCGAACCCGATTGATCTAAAGAAGGTTTTGGTTATTGGATCGGGTGGTTTGAGCATTGGACAGGCTGGAGAGTTCGATTACTCAGGTACGTTACGTTGAGGCGCTGCTCTTCTAATGGCGGTGACTCGGAATTTGAGAATTTGGGGTATTATGTGAATGATGCTTTGAGTCTCAACAAAGCTATCTACGAGGGATAACAAACACTGAACAAAGCTGACCTATCTCTCCTTCTTAGGCTCACAGGCACTGAAGGCTTTGAAAGAAGCCGGTGTCGCCTCCGTTCTCATCAACCCGAATATTGCCACGATTCAGACTGCCCACGTGCTCACCGACGAGGTCTACTATCTACCTGTTACACCCGAATATGTAGAATATGTTATCCAGCGCGAGAAGCCGGATGGAATCTTCCTCACTTTCGGTGGCCAGACCGCCCTGAACTTGGGTGTCCAGATGGAGCGCATGGGCCTTTTCAAGAAGTATGGAGTCAAGGTTTTGGGAACACCAATTAAGACCCTCGAGACCAGTGAGGACAGAGACCTCTTCACCCAGGCTCTCGGAGAGATTAATATCCCCGTCGCTCAGTCTGTTGCTGTTGGAACCATCGAGGAGGCATTGGATGCCGCTAAGGTTATTGGATACCCCATCATCGTCCGCGCTGCCTACGCTTTGGGCGGTCTTGGATCTGGATTCGCGCATAACGAGGAGGAGCTCCGCAACATGGCCGCAAGATCCCTGACTCTGTCCCCTCAAATCTTGGTCGAGAAGTCCCTGAAGGGCTGGAAGGAAGTCGAGTACGAGGTTGTCCGCGACGCCGCCAACAACTGTATCACTGTCTGCAACATGGAGAACTTCGATCCACTTGGCATTCACACTGGTGACTCCATTGTCGTCGCGCCTTCCCAGACCCTGAGCGACGAGGAGTACCACATGCTCCGTTCCGCCGCCATCAAGATTGTTCGCCATCTCGGTGTCGTTGGTGAGTGTAACGTCCAGTACGCTCTGCAGCCAGACGGACTCGACTACAGAGTTATCGAGGTCAACGCCCGTCTCTCTCGTTCGTCTGCCCTTGCTTCTAAGGCTACCGGTTACCCTCTCGCATACACTGCTGCCAAGATTGGTCTCGGCCACACTCTCCCAGAGCTGCCCAACGCAGTCACCAAGACTACCAGCGCCAACTTCGAGCCTTCTTTGGATTACGTCGTCACCAAGATTCCCCGTTGGGATCTGGCCAAGTTCCAGCACGTGAAGCGCGATATCGGCTCTGCGATGAAGTCCGTCGGTGAGGTCATGGCCATTGGCCGAACCTTCGAGGAATCCATCCAGAAGGCCATTCGCCAGGTTGACCCCCGCTTCGTCGGTTTCCAGGGTGACAAGTTTGACGATCTTGACTACGAGCTCCAGAACCCAACTGACCGCCGTTGGTTGGCCGTCGGCCAGGCTATGCTCCACGAGGGATACACTGTTGACCGTCTCCACGAACTGACCAAGATTGACAAGTGGTTCTTGTACAAGCTCCAGAACATTGTCGACTGCACCCACGAGATGGAGGACATTGGGAGCCTCTTTGGCCTGAAGAAGGATCTCCTCATGAAGGCTAAGAAGATGGGTTTCTCCGATAGGCAGATAGCCAACGCCGTTGGCAGCACAGAGGACGAGGTTCGCGCTCGCCGCAAGAACTTCGGTATCAAGCCATTCGTAAAGAAGATTGATACCCTTGCTGCCGAGTTCCCCGCCGATACCAACTACCTGTACACGACCTACAACGCCACTACCCACGATGTCACCTTCGATGACTACGGAACTCTCATCCTTGGAAGTGGAGTCTACAGAATTGGTTCTTCCGTCGAGTTCGATTGGTGCGCTGTGAGCGCTACACTTGCACTCAAGGAGATGGGCAAGAAGACGGTCATGATCAACGTAAGTTAAAGACTTTTTTGGTTTCTTTTATCCCCAGGTCAATCCCCCAGCGTCTGGACATATGGAACAGTCTCTGTCGGGCCGTAAGCTTGATAGGGTGCTCTATCTTGAACCCGAAGACGATAGCACTGTGCCTTCGAGAAGTCTGGAGAGGGCCCGTGCGTTATGCGTGGTATGCACAGCGACTGCACTTGACCAAAGCGACCAGTCACTCAGGGGTTACCCTCAACAAGACAGTTACCCAGAAATAGAACTAAAGAGAGAGGCTCCATTGTATTGAATGGCTAGATGAAAGTCTCAGCTATTCAAGGCCGCTCTTGGGACTTCTGGGTGGCACTAGCGCCGTTTAGCGCCATTCTTTGGATTTTTGGATTTTGGCCTCGATTTTTCAACCCACCCCCTCCCCAACATCACTATATTGTTATACCATTGCTAATTTAACAAAAAAGTATAACCCAGAGACTTACAGCACAGATTTCGACACAGCTGATAAGCTTTATTTCGAAGAATTGAGCTATGAGCGCGTCATGGACATTTACGAGCTCGAGGGCGCTACCGGCGTCGTCGTGTCCGTGGGCGGCCAGCTTCCCCAGAACATCGCTCTCCGCCTGCAAGAGTCTGGCAAAGCTAACATTCTGGGAACTGATCCCAAGGATATTGACAAGGCTGAGGATCGTCAAAAGTTCTCTGAGATTCTTGACAGCATTGGTGTCGACCAGCCCGCGTGGAAGGAACTTACCTCGGTTGCCGATGCTGAGGCCTTCGCCGATGAGGTCTCATACCCCGTCCTTGTCCGCCCTAGTTACGTCCTGTCCGGTGCTGCCATGACTGTCATCCGCAGCAAGGATGAGCTGAAGGACAAGCTTGAGGCCGCCTCCAACGTGTCACCTGACCACCCAGTTGTCATCACCAAGTTCATCGAGGGTGCCGAGGAGATTGATGTTGACGCCGTTGCATCCGATGGCAAGCTTATTATACACGCCGTGTCTGAGCACGTTGAGCAAGCTGGTGTCCACTCTGGTGACGCCACTCTTGTCCTTCCCCCCGCAAACATCGATCAAGCCACCATGGACCGCGTCAAGGAGATTGCCATCAAGGTTGCCAAGGCCTGGTCTATCACTGGTCCCTTCAATATGCAAATCATCAAGGCACAAGACCCAGAGGGTGGTGAGCCAGCTCTTAAGGTTATCGAGTGCAACCTCCGCGCTTCCCGTTCGTTCCCATTCGTCTCTAAGGTCCTCGGTGTTAACTTCATCGATGTCGCCACCAAGGCTCTTGTCGGCCGTGATGTCCCAGAGCCGCAAGATCTGATGGCTGTCAAGCGTGACTATCTCGCCACTAAGGTTCCTCAATTCTCCTGGACCCGTCTTGCCGGCGCCGACCCCTTCTTGGGCGTCGAGATGTCGTCTACCGGTGAAATCGCCTGCTTCGGTAAGGACCTTGTCGAGGCCTACTGGGCTTCCCTGCAATCCACCATGAACTTCCGCATGCCAGAGCCAGGAGAGGGTCTCCTCTTTGGTGGTGACATCACCAAGGACAAGAATGCTCTCGTTACTATCGTCGACTACCTGTCTCCTCTGGGCTACAAGCTGTTCGCCGCCGAAGATCACGTCAAGTCCTTCATCGAGAAGAACGCCAAGAACGATGTATCCGTCGAGGTCATTGAGTTCCCCGTTGAGGACAAGCGTGAGCTGCGCAAGGTGTTCGAGAAGTACGATATCCGAGGTGTTTTCAACATCGCATTGGCCAGGGGCAAGACGACACAGGATGTGGACTACGTCATGAGGAGGAACGCCGTCGACTTCGGCGTGCCGTTGTTCATGGAGCCAAAGGTATGTTAATTTCTTATATTCCTAATTATATAAGGTTCACAACTAACGTTTTAATAGACCGCTGAGCTCTTCGCCCGCTGCATGAGCGAGAAGCTTCCTCGCAAGGAGGGCATTCCAGGGGAGGTGCGCAGATGGTCTGATTTCATTGGTGGCAAGCCTCTGTAAATCAGTCGTTTCCACGTCAGAAAGTGCAGTGTTAAAAGGTTGAAAGTCAACGGCGAAAATGTATAGTACTAAGCCAGAGAGTCGAGGATAGCACGCAAGCCTTTCGTATTATGAGATAGAGCAACGTATCTCAGATATTTGGGTTGAAAAGTTGGCGATATATGAAGATGGGGAGTCTATGGGGATGGGAGAGGGGCGGAGGTGGAGGATATAGGGTTGGGAGTTTGGAAGGCTTAGTAGGCAATTGATGCATACAGTTTGATTTTTGATATATTTCTTGTGCCATTTAACATCTCGACTCATTGCTATATCTACTTCGATGCCCTCTAACTCAAAACTTGTTCTTGTTGACAAAACTATGTATCGTCTCTGCTCCAATCCTTCGCCGTCAGCAGCCCGGTATTGGCATAACACTGACTATCTCCTCCCACAAAGAACTTCTGGTCCACCATGGAGCAAAGCGCGACGCCAATCTCATAGGGACACGGAGTTATGTATAGTATTTTGCCAGACCATCGGACTTTGTTATTTCATTGGAATGTAGCCAATAATACTTGGCACAATGGATGGTACCCCTTCCTTGCCAAAGATTTCTCTGGCTTGGGACACGGAAGTTGGTGTAGCTGGTCATTCTGGCATTGCAGGTACAGTATCTTCATGATACCTTTTGCATTTCCCTTCTGTCTCACTCTCAAAGATAGTTTCCACGTCGAACTTGAACACTTCGTTCCTAATCATGCTTAGAGGACGCCAAGTTGCCCATCCAGGATGCTCCATATAGTCGTATTCTCGTCCTTAGCCCCTCTACTTTCCGCCTCCTGCAGCCATATATCTCCACCACTGCTGTCTCCCTTCCCAGTCTTCCGGGCGCTATACCCCAGCATCTGGTCCAACCTATCCAGAGCTTTCTTCGCTTCCTCTAAAGCTGTTTTCCCTTCATCAACGTTCACGCACACAGCTTCCATTGTATCTATACTCGACGCCTGGGCGGCATATGTCCATTCCTCAGCTCTATGGCTAACGTCAGGGCTCTCTTTAACAGCCATGTTAACTTCCTCGGCAAAGGTCCCGGTGCCTTTGCGACTGCGTTTCTGAGGTAATTGGTATTTAGGCAGGAGGTGGCTCTCTTCCGCTAGGCGATCAAAGACTTGGATCGTCTCCTTGTTTTGCTTGGCTAGGGTGGTAGTAAGATGGGAGCGCTGCTGGCTGAGGGATTTCTGTCCGCGAGAGATTGCGAGTAGCTCGGACAGATATGGGGTGATGAATCCAGCCATCTCACCCACTTCACTGGTGTTCTGAGGCTCTTGTGGAATGTCCTTGTCTTCCGTTTTTGGCGCGATGTCTGGGATAGTTGGCCTTGCGAGGGCTTCTAGAAGTGCCTTTCTTTCCCTAAGATAACGTTCATATTTTTCTCTGACTTCAGTGACGGCTTGCTCGATAGGCACTTCTGAATCGCGCGGTTTGGAGGGGTTCTCGGGCTGAGCGTCTGAGTCCCCAGCCTTGCCTAATTCTTCTTCCACCCAACTAATCAACTCATTTCTAGTCTTCTCCAACGCCTTTAAAGTCTGATCGGGCTCCACAGCTTTTAATGAGCTTTTTCGCCGCAGCTGCTTCTGTTGCTCGGCCTGGATATTTGCAAGCAGATCTTTCTCGGATTTGAGAAGCAATTTGGCGCGAAGGACATCTCTCTCTAAGTCTTGGATCAGGTCATCTAGATTGACTGAAGAAGATTCCGAGCCACTGCGGGCTGCTGATTCGATAGCTTCTGCTGGAAGCTGTGGAAGCGCTTCAATACTAGCGGCAGGCTGTTCGAGGAACGATGCAAAAGCAGGGGTTTTGATTGCTAAGCTATCAACGTATTTTTGAAGAATGTGCAAGCGCTCGAGATTTTGCTTTTGCTTTTCCAGGGCTAAATAGGGACCAGGAGATATCTCTTCCACTTCCTTCTTCTTGGTGATTTGTGATTCAGTGGTTAGTCTGGCGAATTCTTGGCGGGCTTTGACGTTTGCTTTTAGTGCCCTCAAATATTCTTTCCGCAACCCATGAGCGCCGGACGTAGTTGGGAGTTTGTTTGCTGGTTCGCAGGCCAGCGAAATAGGGGCAAGCAGCTTGCCATGTCCTTTATCATCCACTTGGGACTTGAGATGGAGGGCCAGTACACGCCTAATATGAGCTACCTCCTGGCGAGTTCTAATATACGGAGCAAGGACCTTTTTGGCCTCTTCAAAGGCAGGATTTGTTGATGAAGGTTGTTCCATGCTCGTAATCGATATTATGAGAGTTTGGTATTGAGATGTTTGTTGTTGACAGCACGTGCAGCTGGACGGGAATACGCGCTATAGACGCTAACCGCCTCTCAGCCGCCACCCTAACGGGTCTAGGCGAGGCGGCAGAGTACTCTATCAATACCGCCGCTAAATTATTTGCAGCATTCGACGCCGTCATAAACTCAAGATTAACTCAAACGGCCAATGTTGAAGGGAGCGTCGTATTAATACGTTCATTTGGCGTTTTATCGATGGACTGTCAAAGTGATATATAAAACTTTTCGATAGCCCGTAGGGAAGGGCCATAAATCAACACAACAAAGTTTCTACCTAGGCCGCCACCATGGCCGACCAACAGCGCGATGTGTCGCAATACAAATATTCGGCGATGTCCAATTTGGTCTTGCAGGCCGATAGACGATTTGTGACTCGCCGCGGTGATGAAGTTACAGGGGACCCCGAGTCGCTTGCAGGGCGCCTCAGCATCAGAGATATGGGGTCGCGCAATGCCCGCGAAGACGCGCCGAAACAGAAGAAACCGACGGGCATGCTTAATGTTGAGCGCGGAAGCTTGCGGGAAGGCGAAGATGTGTTGGAGCGAGAGCAACGGAAGCGCAAACGAGGAGAGCCAGCACAACTTCGGGGTACTGGTATTCTTTCGGCAGCGGACGCACTTGTGGAGGGAATTCGATACAGACCGAGGACACCTGCGACGAGGGCGACATACGATCTTATAATCACGACTGTAGCGAGCAATCTGGGTGACGTCCCTCACGAGGTTGTACGAAGTGCTGCGGATGCTGTCTTGGAATACCTAAAGGATGATGATATGAAGGATTTCGACAAGAAAAAGGAGGTCGATGATTTGCTGGGTACAACGATGAATCCGAAACAATTCAATGAACTTGTCAACCTTGGGAAAAAGATAACCGATTATGAGGCCCAAGATGAAGACGAAGCCATGGGGGAGGGTGATGCCAACAGAGATGGAGCCGAGATTGACGATCGGCAAGGTGTAGCCGTCGTGTTTGATGACGAGGAATCAGAGGATGAGGGAGGCAAAATGCTTAATGAAATCCGAGACGAATCTTCGGAAGACGAAGAGGGCGATCAGGAGGACAACCTCGAGGCCGATGAGATAGCGAGTGCAGGAGGCGCGGGCATGGATCGAGACGAGGGCGGCATGTTTGGGGAAGATGAGGCCATGACCTTAGATTCTGGTGTCGACCGCGCTGTAGCAAAGCCATCTACGAAAGACAAATCAATCCCAGCTCGCGAAATCGACGCATATTGGCTACAGAGGCAAATTGGGCAAAACTATGCAGATGCTCACATGCAACAAGTCAAAACACAACAAGCGCTACAGATTCTTTCCGGCCTGTCTGAAGAAGGAGACGAACGGACTCTTCGCGAAATTGAGAACGATCTAATGGAACTTTTTGATTACGAGCACCACGAACTTGTTCAGAAGTTAATTTCGAACCGAGACAAGGTCGTATGGCTTACTCGTCTAGCCAAAGCGGATGATGATGAGGCCCGGGGAGTCGTTGAGCGTGAAATTATCGCTGAAGGGCTTCGTTGGATCCTTGACGAGCTAAAGGGCCGCAAAGTCTCCGTTGACGGTGGAAAGGGCAAAAAGGTCGAAATCAAGATGGATATCGACGTACCAGAGGATTACATTAAGGGTCCAAAAGAAGAGCAGGCCAAGGATGGTGGCCTAGTTGGTGGCCTGCAGCCAAGGAAGCTCATTAACCTGGAGAACCTCATATTCGAGCAAGGCAACCATCTCATGACCAACCCCAAGGTAAAGCTCCCTGAAGGGTCGACGAAGAAGACTTTCAAGGGGTATGAGGAGATCCACGTACCAGCACCAAAGAAGCGTAGCGACCCAACAGATAGAGACGTCCCTGTCTCCGAGATGCCTGAGTGGTCTCGTGTGCCATTCGGCACAACCCCAAAGCTCAACAAGATTCAGTCCAAGTGCTTCCCAACCGCATTCTGTGAAGATGGAAACATGCTCATCTGTGCGCCTACTGGAAGTGGCAAGACGAACGTCGGTATGCTGACCATTCTGAGAGAAATTGGGAAGAACAGGAATCCTGAGACCGGAGAGATCAATTTGGACGGGTTTAAGATTGTTTATATCGCCCCATTGAAGGCTCTGGTTCAGGAACAAGTTGGCAACTTTGGAGCTAGGTTAAAGCCTTACGGAATCCAGGTCTCGGAGCTTACAGGTGATCGTCAGCTCACAAAGCAACAAATTGCGGATACACAGATCATAGTCACAACGCCAGAGAAGTGGGATGTGATTACCCGCAAGGCGACTGATATGAGCTACACCAACTTAGTGCGGCTAATAATTATTGACGAGATTCATTTGTTGCACGATGATCGTGGGCCAGTACTGGAGAGCATCGTCAGCCGAACAATCAGAAAGATGGAACAAACAGGAGATCCTGTACGCTTGGTTGGTCTTTCCGCGACATTGCCCAATTATAGGGACGTTGCAAGCTTTTTACGAGTAGATCCATTAAAGGGTATGTTCCACTTTGATGGATCTTTCCGTCCTTGCCCTTTGCGTCAAGAGTTTATTGGTATCACCGAAAAGAAGGCGATCAAGCAGCTCAAGACCATGAACGACATTACCTACACGAAGGTACTCGAGCATGTTGGCACCAACCGTAACCAGATGATTATATTCGTTCATTCCCGGAAGGAAACTACCAAAACTGCGCGATATGTCCGCGACAAGGCTCTCGAAGAGGAGACGATTAGCCAAATTCTTCGGAGTGATGCCGGTAGCCGTGAGGCCCTAACTACGGAGGCAGAGTCCGTGAACGATCGCGACCTTAAGGATTTACTACCATATGGCTTTGGCATCCATCACGCTGGAATGACCCGCCCTGATAGGACTTCCGTTGAAGATCTCTTTAACGACGGACTTATTCAGGTCTTGGTCTGCACGGCAACCCTCGCTTGGGGTGTCAACTTGCCGGCCCATACTGTTATCATCAAAGGCACGCAGATTTATTCCCCTGAGAAAGGCAGCTGGGTCGAATTGAGTCCTCAAGACGTCTTGCAAATGTTGGGACGTGCTGGTCGCCCACAGTACGATACATATGGAGAAGGTATCATCATCACTACGCAGACCGAGATGCAATACTATCTTTCTCTGCTTAACCAGCAGCTGCCCATTGAGAGCCAGTTTGTTACCCGACTGGCTGATAATCTGAATGCTGAAATCGTTCTTGGAAACATCCGAACGAGGGATGAGGGAGTCGAGTGGCTGGGTTACACATATCTCTTCGTTAGAATGCTGCGGTCCCCTGGGCTTTATCAGGTCGGTGCCGACTACGAAGAAGACAATGCCTTAGAACAAAAGCGTGTGGACTTGATCCATTCTGCTGCGGTTGTTCTCGAGAGATCGAATCTGGTTAAATACGACAAGAAAACGGGTATGTTCCAAGCAACTGAGCTCGGCCGCATTGCATCGCATTACTACATCACGCATAGCTCCATGCTCACTTATAACCACCATATCCAACCATCTATTACCCCTATTGAACTTTTCAGAGTCTTTGCGTTGAGTGATGAGTTCAAGTTCATCCCCGTTAGGCAAGACGAGAAGTTGGAGCTTGCGAAGCTTTTGGGAAGAGTACCAATACCCGTCAAGGAAAGCATCGAAGAGCCGCATGCAAAGATCAATGTTCTTCTCCAGGCGTATATTTCCCGCCTGAAGCTCGAAGGCTTGGCTTTGATGGCTGATTTGGTGTATGTCACTCAATCTGCTGGCCGTATTCTCCGTGCCATCTTTGAGATTACCCTGAAGAAAGGGTGGTCGTCCGTGGCCAAAACAGCGCTTGAGCTTTGCAAGATGGCAGAAAAGAGAATGTGGCCAACAATGACACCATTGAGGCAATTCCCCAGCTGTCCCCGCGATATTATCCAGAAGGCTGAGCGAATTGACGTTCCTTGGAACAACTACTTCGACTTGGATCCTCCGCGGATGGGAGAGCTTCTTGGTCTGCCAAGAGCTGGCAAGACTGTCTGCGCTCTAATGTCCAAGTTCCCGAGACTCGAGATTCAGGCCCAGGTCCAGCCCATGACTAGATCCATGCTGCGGATCGAGTTATCAATCACACCCAAGTTCGAATGGGATGACGAAGTGCACGGTACAGCCGAGAGCTTCTGGATTATCGCCGAGGACTGTGACGGGGAGGAGATTCTCTTCCACGACCAATTCATATTGCGTAAGGATTATGCTCAGGCTGAAATGAATGAGCACTTGGTCGAATTTACCGTTCCCATTTCCGAGCCAATGCCACCCAACTATTTCATTACATTAGTTTCGGATCGTTGGATGCATTCGGAGACCAAGCTTGCCGTCTCATTCCAGAAACTGATCCTACCAGAAAAGTTCCCCCCTCACACACCACTTTTGGATCTGCAGCCTTTGCCGGTGTCCGCGCTCAAAGCCCAAGACTACGCTGCATTATATCCGAAATGGGAATGGTTCAATAAGGTTCAGACACAAACGTTCAACTCGCTATACACGACAGATGAGAATGTGTTTGTTGGAGCTTCAACTGGTAATGGTAAAACAGTCTGTGCCGAGTTTGCGCTCCTGCACCACTGGTCGAAACCGGAGGCAGGCCGCGCCGTTTACATTGCACCGTTCCAAGAGCTTGTCGATTTGAGACTCCAGGATTGGAAAGCACGCTTGTCTAATATCCGTGGAGGGAAGGAAATTGTCAAATTGACTGGGGAGACAACGGCAGACCTCAAACTCCTAGAAAGGGGCGATCTTATTCTCGCTACCCCGGCGCAGTGGGATGTGCTCTCCAGGCAATGGCAACGCCGAAAGAACATCCAAAACATCCAACTGTTCATCGCAGATGAGCTTCATATGTTGGGTGGCCAGAGCGGATATGTTTATGAGATTGTGGTTTCTCGTATGCACTACATTCGCTCCCAGACACAACTACCTATGCGCATCATTGGCCTTAGTGTCCCGTTGGCAAATGCACGCGACATCGGCGAATGGATTGATGCAAAGAAACATACAATCTACAACTTCAGTACTCACGTCAGATCTGTTCCTCTGCAGCTTCACATTCAGTCTTTCACCATTCCGCATTTCCCATCGCTTATGCTCGCAATGGCAAAGCCTACGTATCTCAGCATATTACAAATGTCTCCAGATAAGCCTGCCATAGTATTTGTGCCGAACAGGAAGCAAGCTCGCAATACTACTCGCGACTTGCTGACTGCTTGTGTTGCAAATGACGACGAGGACCGCTTTTTGCACGCAGACAGCGAGCAACTGAAACCTCTCTTAGAACGGATTCATGAAGAGGCACTTGCGGAATCTCTTTCCCACGGCATTGGCTACTACCATGAGGCACTAAGCACCAGCGACAAACGGATCGTCAAGCATCTTTACGACAACGGAGCTATCCAAGTCCTAGTCGCATCAAGAGATGTATGCTGGGAGCTCGATTGCACCGCACACCTGGTCATCGTCATGGGGACCCAATATTTCGAGGGACGGGAGCATCGTTATGTGGACTACCCGTTGAGTGAAGTGCTACAGATGTTTGGCAAAGCAACTCGGCCACTTGAAGACCCCATTAGCAGAGGCGTGCTTATGGTCCCTGCAGTCAAGCGGGACTATTACAAGAAATTCTTGGCCGAAGCGCTTCCTATCGAGAGTCATCTGCAGGTTGTCCTGCACGACGCATTCGTCTCTGAGATTAGCACGAAGATGATCGAGTCTGCTGATGATGCGATTAACTGGACAACTTTCACATATTTCTACCGTCGACTACTGGCGAATCCCAGCTACTACAGTCTCACAGACACCTCTCATGAAGGCCTAAGCGCTTATCTTTCTGAGTTAGTAGAGACAACACTAAAGGATCTCTCTGATTCCAAAATCATTGATCTGGATGAGGAGGATGATTCGGTGACGCCTCTCAATGCTGCCATGATCGCCGCTTACTACAATATCTCCTACATCACAATGCAAACCTTCCTGCTATCACTCAGTGGGCGGACAAAGCTCAAGGGTGTGCTAGAGATTGTGACCTCGGCCACAGAGTTTGAGACCATTCAGATAAGGCGCCACGAAGACAGTTTACTTCGTCGTATCTACGATAGGGCTCCAGTCAAGATGGCAGAACCAAGCTATGACTCGCCGCATTTCAAGGCATTTGTACTTCTCCAAGCACATTTCTCCCGGATGCAGCTCCCTATAGATCTTGCAAAGGATCAGGAGATAATACTAACGAAGGTGCTTGGCCTACTGAGTGCCACTGTTGACGTGTTGTCTTCTGATGGACATATCAATGCTATGAATGCGATGGAGATGTCTCAGATGGTCGTTCAAGGCATGTGGGATCGGGATAGTCCTCTTAAGCAGATCCCTCACTTCACACCGGAGGTCATCAAGGCTGCTAATAGTGCTGGGTATGTACCTGACCCCCTGTTGTATAACAGTGCTAACCATTATTCTTTCATTAGTGTTGAGGATATTTTTGGATTCATGGAGGCAATGGATCCTTCCGAAAATCCAAACTACGGCGCACTGGTGAAGAAATTGGGCTTGACACAGACACAGTTGGGACAGGCTGCGAATTTCACGAACACGAAATATCCAAATGTTGAGCTGGAGTTCGAGCTTGAAGACCCGGAGGATATCACCGCTGGTGTTCCTTCATACATCGAAGTGAAGATCGAGCGCGAAGTAGACGAAGATGATGAGAGTGCAGAGGTTGACACAACAGTTCACGCACCGTTTTATCCACTCAAGAAGATGGAAAATTGGTGGTTGGTTGTTGGCGAGGAGAGCACAAAGACTTTGCTTGCAATCAAACGCATCACCATTGGCAAGAAGTTGAATCTACGGTTGGAATATACGGTACCGACAGCTGGCAAGCACGATCTGAAGCTATTTTTGATGAGCGACAGCTATGTTGGTGTCGACCAGGATCCCAGCTTCACAGTGAATGTTGCTGAAGGAGAAGATGATGACGAGGGGGATGAAGATGAGGATATGGAATAGAATAGTAAGACCCTGTTTACCCCTGAAGGAAAGGTTTGTTGTATCATAGAAAGAAGTCCTGTTGGGCTTTAGATCATATCAGCTTTCCAGGTTCCCCCGTGTCACTGTTTCTGTGTCGAATGGAGGCCACTTCGATAGTTTGGATCAGTCTATGACGTAGGATCAAGGAGTCATTTTTGAGAGAGCAATTGTGGGTTATGCGGCAGGAGCTTTTCATTGATTCTCGCATTTCGGTGGTTGTTCCACCCTTGGGAATTTGTTTCCATGGCAGCCTGCATTCTCGGGCCCAAAGTATTGTTGTGGAAGGTTGCAGAATCAAGTTCACCGCCACATTCCAATTCCGTGATCCTCGAGACATACCTCGACTGAACACAAAATGAACCCTTTCAGTTCCTTCATTTGCGAACTTTCTCCAGCCATCTGGCATTACTGTCAGTTTTCACCTCGGTGAAAGAAATCCGATCATCATCTGTGGTCCATAAGTACTGCGGATGCCGATTCGTGGATCAACTTGTCATCACCTCAATATTATCCACGTGACCAACCGCGCTATTTCTCGCGCGCTCAAGCCGCGAGCTCTCCCAAGTATTTCCTCGCCAACTCCACTCTTCTACCATTGACGGCGCATCAATTTTACCGCCTACCATTGTTCACCATCATCGCAAACACTTCAATCCAACTTTACGCGCGACTCTTCGTACTTTGCGCGTTATTTTCCTATCAGTGTCGCGAAACGCGTTTCTCAAGATAACAATCTAGATACGGCGTTACAGAATATACCATAGAAGCCGTGGGTATGTCTGAACACGCGACATCGGTTGAGGCAGTGTCTGCCCCGGTGGATTCATCGGTTGCGCGTCCAGATAACGCGACTGCTGAGGGAATTTCATCCGGCGCCGATGCCACTACTGGCGACAGCAATGGGGTGACAGCGACTGAAACCAAGGAAGAGCTTCCAGTTGCCGAGGCTGCCAAAGGTATGTTTCGCCACGATAGTCATTCTCGAATATATCGTCACGCATCCTAACATCCATACCACAGAAGACAGCGAAGCCAAGGTTCTCCCCGAAGACGAAAAGCCAGCAGAGACCGCTACAGAGAATGGGACAAAGGATATCGCCGACACAGTCGCGGAGATCGCAGAAGCCACTGCAACTCCATCGTCTGCGAACAAGTCCAAGGCGCGTCGCAAGTCATCTGGCGTTCCGGAGCACAAGGGTCGAAAGCTCAACAAGAAGGAATCCAAGGCAAAGATGAGCAACATTCACGCCCAGCCTGGGGAGTATTACTTCATCAAGTTGAGGGGGTTCCCAAAATGGCCCGGGATTGTTGCTTCTGAAGATATGCTCCCGGATGCGATCCTGAAATCCCGCCCAGTGACTACTGCGAAGCCAGATGGAACGTACAGGGAAGACTTTGCTGAGGGCGGGAAGAACACTCTGGACCGCACATTTCCCGTAATGTTCCTTGAAACAAATCAATTGTAAGTTTTCTATTCACCCCACCTCTGTTGTTGATTCCTGACACGAAAATCTAACCCATTCTACAGTGCCTGGACCCCTAACACCGACCTCGAACCTCTCGACACCAGCGTCGTCGGTGACGTTCCACAGGGCAAGATGTCCAAATCGTTGTACGCAGCGTATCAATTGGCTGCCGAAAATCACGATTTGGATCATTACAAGAACGTTCTTAGGGAGTTCGAGGTATCCCGCCGCCGAGACGAAAAGGCGGCAAAGGAGGCTATCGACGCAAAGAAAGCAGCAAAGGAAGCCAAGGCTTCGGCCAAGAAGGGCAAGAAAACCAAGGAGGTTGTTCAGGACGAGGATGAGGATGTTGAGATGGCCGACGCGGGCGCAGATGAGGCCGAGAAAGAAGACAAGCCCAAGGCGTCCAAGAAGCGCAAGGCTGTCGATGATGAGACCTCTGTAAGCTATATCCATCACCACTATGCGCATATAGCGTTCTAACATCGATTACAGACCCCGAAGCGAACAGATTCGGTAAAGAAGCCAAAGCTGAAGCTTATAAACTCTGCTCAGAAGGCAAATGGAGCCGAAACTCCAAAGTCCGCCGCCAAAGAGAAAAAGGAGAAGGCTAAGCCCAAGTCCAAGAAGGCTGCTGCGGCGCCCGCGACGCCAAAGGAGCCAGAACTGAGCGCAGAGGAGAAGAGCAAGAAGAAAGAGGTATGAGCTATTATACGGTTCCGAATAGATCATTATACTAATCGTTTGAGTAGAAAGAGGTTCGCTTTTTGCGCCACAAGCTCCAAAAGGGCCTCCTTGACAGCATCAAGAAGCCAAGGGAAGACGAGATGAAGCAAATGTCTGAGTTTATCACTAAACTTGAGGGATACTCGGACCTGGAAGTTAGCATTATCCGCGCCACTAAGATCAACAAGGTCTTGAAGGGCATCCTCAAGATCGAGGACATCCCAAAGGAGGCTGAATTTAAATTCAGAGAACGTTCCACTGAGCTTCTGGCCAAATGGAATAAGATCTTGGAGAGCGATACCCCGGCACCAGCTTCGGCACAGGCCAACGGGACATCGAAGGAGCAAGTTAATGGAGAGTCGGCCACGGCAGAGGATGGGACGAAGACAACCGGATTAGATAGGGCTGACGACACTCTTGCCCCCGAGGTGGACATGGAGGATGCCGATGCTAAGGACGAACAAGAGAAGCCTGAAGAAGAGGGGAGGCCTCAAGAAGAGGAGAAGCCTGAGGATGAGGAGAAGGCGGCCGAAGACAAGACCGAGGTATGTGGCTCTCTGACTCGTTTTCCACATGGAGGCCCTGAACTAACAAACAAGAAGGTCATTGTGGCGGAGGCTACACCAGTTGAGGCTACTGCGTAATGGCTCCAAGTACGAGAAATATCGCCGTTCTGCAAAGCTGGGGCAATTACGAATTAATTTGGTAGTTCAGAGTGTTTTGATTTGGCTTTCTATCTGGCGTCTCTGTTTGTAACATCACACACACACACACATCTATGGACTTTCTCTTTCGGAAAATACGATCTTCTCTGTCCGAGCCTGACTCTTTTGCCGTTTCTCATCAAGCTGGGGTGTACAAATCTGGGTTTGCTCTTTCGGATGTTGATGGCATGGATGACGAAGGACAACGTGGGCATTTAAAACACTTGTTTTATGGCAGAACTGGTCACGAATTCCATAGGCAAATAATGCACCTAAAATCTCAAAATACACATTCATATTTCACATTGCAGAATTAAAAGTTATTTCACGAGCGAGTCGGACACGGACATACAAGCGGGTGGGACACTGAATTTCTCGCCCAAAATCAAGAAATTTGCAAGGTAATAACGTGGTTTATCAGTACGTCGGACATATCAGTACCTCGGACACTTTTCCCGAATTTCCTACCCTCTAACTTCACAACGCGTTTTTTCCACCTTTTATTATGTCAGTGATTACCCAAGAAACAAAAATCATTCTAGCTATCGAGGCTATCCGAACATCAAAAAATCTAAGTCGTCGGAAGGCTGCTAAGCTCTATGAAGTACCTCATTCTACACTCTGCGACAGAATGAACGGCCGAACTACTGTCTACGAACGCCGGCCTGCAATGATGAAATTAACTATACTAGAAGAGGAGGTGGTTATTCGGAATATACTTGATATGGATTCAAGAGGATTTGCACACCGGCTTGCTGGTGTAGAAGATATGGCAAATTTTATACTCGAATCGCGTGGAGGGAGGCGCGTCGGGAAGCTCTGGGCCCACCGATTTGTACAACGACGTCCAGAATTAAAGATGCGTTTTAATCGCGTTTACGACTTCCAAAGGGCCTTGTGCGAAGATCCTGAACTAATTGGCGTGGTTTTGACTAGTGGAAAATATGAGGGCAAAATATGGTGTTTTGGACTGCGACTTCTATAACTTTGACGAAACTGGGTTTATGATGGGTGTGATTTGCCCTGCAATGGTTGTTACCCGTGCAGATCGACTTGGCAGAGGTAAGGCAGTTCAGTCAGGGAATCGGGAATGGGCTACAGCGATTGCTTGTATCAATAGTGACGGCTGGAGTATTCCTCCATTTTTGGTAGTTAAAGGCAAGAATCATCTTGCAAATTGGTATACAGACGGCGGCCTTCCACACAACTGGGTTGTTAAACCGACAAGCAATGGATGGACAAACAATGAGACGGGTCTAGAATGGTTGAAACACTTCGACAAACATACTGCTGTTCGTGCAAGGGGTCCATATCGAATGCTGGTGTTAGACGGGCACGAGAGTCATGAATCAGCCGAGTTCCAAGAGTACTGCAAGGCACACAACATTATAACTCTTGGACTACCTCCCCACTCGTCTCATTTAACTCAGCCACTTGATGTCGGGTGCTTTAGTGTGTTGAAGCGGGCATATGGTCGGCAGATTGAGACCTTCATTAAGGCTCATATCAACCACATTACCAAGGTCGAGTTCTTTCTCGCCTTTAGAGCAGCATATCTGGAATCCATGACAGCCCAAAACGCCCAGTCCGGGTTCCGCGGAGCTGGCTTAGTGCCTTTCGACCCGCAAGCAGTGCTTTCAAAGCTTGACGTGAGGTTACGGACTCCAACTCCCTCTAGACCCTCTACTGCCAACACCAACCCTTGGGTCTCCCAGACCCCTTCCAACCCAACTGAAGCTCTTTCACAAACAACCCTCGTTCGAAATCGAATTGCCCGTCACCAAGGAAGCTCGCCAACTCCACTCTTCGGGACAGTTATTGCATTGGCAAAGGGTATGGAGCGACTAGCACATGAGAACACCCTTCTGTCTGCTGAGTTATGTACCCTTCGAGCAGCCAACGAAGCCCTTAGCAAACGCCGCAGGGCTAAAAAGGCTCGTGTCCGTGAAGGAGGTGCACTTATAGTAGAGGATGCACAGGCTATTATCACACAGAAGGATGTGGATGAGCAGGTACGACGCGACGTACGTGCAGTTGGGGGTAGTCGCAAGGAGGGGCAACCGTCTAGGCGATGCTGTGGGATCTGTGGAAAAGCTGGTCATAATGCGCGAACTTGTCAAGAAGCTATAGATATGTCTAGTTCATCTGATTCCGCTTAGTTATAGTTAATTTAATATGTTATGGTTGATTTATTGATATTCAAAGTAGAATGCCAATGAAAAGTGTCCGAGGTACTGATATGTCCGACGTACTGATAAACCACGTTAACTCAACAACAGCTTAATAATATATATTAAAGTATGTTTCTAGCTTTTTATACTTCGTTGAATTCCTACCTAATTATCTAGGAATAATCTATGCATTAATTCTTGAGATATTAAGTGTAAGCGCTGATGTAGGCGCTGAAATTTACACTAGGCCGTCTATGGTTCTAATTGCTCTAAAACTGCATGTAAATTTAGTGTATAGATAAAGCTGAATACACACTATGTATCCCCATGTTTCGTTCATTCAATCAGTCAACCAACCTCATTAACCAAGCACATCAGAGCACCAGGAGTCTTTATTAGCGAGGAGGGTTATCACATTCATTGGCATACAAAGGGTCGTACGATTAGAAACTATTGCCCCTTTATTCTTCATAGGTATAAGAGCTACCTCTCAGCTTAATTCTAATATTAAGCTGAGAGGTAGCTCTTATACGGATGAGGTCAGAGATGCTGGGGAGGATGTGGAAGTAGCAGGTGGGCAGACACATCCGCTGACCACACTGGTAAGCAGAGGTATAGTGCAGGTAGCCTATCCGGACCATGGTACAGTCGTGGTAGCAGGAGCAGTGCCGGAGACGGTCTCGATCTTGACAAGAACGGGAATGACGGCACCAGTGCTCAAGCTAAAGGCTTGGTGGCTGAGACCACGAATAAGACCTCTGGCCTAGCCAGATTAGCTGGTGAAAGTGAGAATGGTGTTGGTGCGAACATCCTGGGAGCTGTCGGTCTCGGCTGTGGTGCCGGTCCAGAGTTCATCGTTCTCGGTGAGCCAGCCTCGATGGGGAAGCTTGGGAAGTTGGCCTCGATGTAGCTCTTGCTGCTGCAACATCTCTACCCCTCTTTCCTCCATTCCCATAATTGGATAGAGCCTCGGAGTGATGGCTCCTCGTAACGCCTTTGTACACATAGAGCTCAGTCTTTAGTGCTTCATTCTTCTTCCGCAGTTGACTATTTTCAAATTCCGAAGCTCTCCATTTGTCTGTAGGAAGTAAGAATGGAAGTTCCACATGAATGAAGAAACCTCACCATTAAGTTCTGTATTGCACAGAGAGAATCCATCTGACCTATAAAACAATTAGACAACTACTCAGCACTTGCTGCAGTAGAAGGAGCATACCCGTCTTATAAGCGAGCTTCTGTTGAAGAACCTGAATTGTTTCTGTAGTAGGTGTCAATAAAGTATCAACGGCGCCTAATGAGTAATAACTTGCCTTGCATTTGGAGGGTGGAAGCTATTACCTCTCTGGTTAATTCTATGGAAGAAATTAGCCAAGAACATAGGACTCTGGTGGTGAAGGCTCTCACGACGACTGATCTTCATTGTAGCCGCTGCAGTCTGCCCAGCCGATTCTTCTGTTTCATTACAAACTTCGCCGATAGTGTTGCCATCTATTGCTCTTCCTGTAGGTGTCGATTCGAGTCAGATGTTGGTGACCGCTCTTGATCTTGATTTAAGTCTAGTGTAGACCTGGTGGTGACTTCTGAATTATTTTCAACATAGCTGTGTTTGTCTTAAAAGTTCAGCTAGAATGTTTATATGCAAACCTCCTTCCTTCATGACTTACTACCCTTGGGAGGTTTTGTATAGTAGTCACCGAATCAAATGAATCCACACATTCTAGTTGTGGCGGTAAAGACATGGCGTGAAATAGCCTTGTGGCTGATAAAAGTTGAAAGACAATGTGGGTTGTCCTGATACAATGTGGGGATCCATTGGTACTTATACTATCTAGCCTGGGGCGGTGTAGGGGTATCGGGGCCTTTTATACAGCATACATAATCTCAGCGTCCACCACCGCATCAAACATAATTCTTGCGTTGGATATGTGGAAATGGCCCTTTAAATCTACCCTCTTTCCCTTTGTACGTATCGTACGCTTCTTTATGATGGAGCGTAAGTTGTTGGCATCGTGTTGGTAGACGATACTGAAGACAGTGTGCTATAAAGCTACCACTTATATGTGAATCGTAGCCATTACAAATAAGGAGTCGGTATTGGCCACCTGCTTTTGCTTAGGTTATTAGTTCAAAAACACGCTTCAACTACTCTAAACCATGAACGTTACTCGTCCAACCCTTTGTATTTGCTAAAAATAATTATTTGCTAAGAAGAATCATTCGCTAAAAAGAACCATTCGTTAAGTACGCTATTTAGTATCTAGTTCTGTAAGACGTTCTTCCCTTTGAAAATCCCAAGTGGTGGTAGAATAGCTCTGTCTAGAATAGTTCTGTCTACACAAATACAGTCTACCATCGAAACCCATTCTTAACGGCTAGGATAAGCCTGGTGCTTTGTACGAAGTGATGAATCGAGTATTATACATGTTGACTCTATTGTCCTAATCGAAAATCCTGACTCATCTATGTTATATATGTCTTTTTGGTCGATTCTATGTGTCATACTGACATTCGTTGCACTCAGTTTGCTATCAAACTCAAGAGCAAACTTGGAAATCTCCTCCTCAAACCTACAAGTCACTATACATATTTTGGCTTATCACACCAACAACAAGAGCAATACTACTCAACGATTGCTACAACCATCTATGATTCATTACACGTCATCGCTCCTTAGTTACTGGGCCGATATTACCACATAGCATATCTCTACAACCCTCTATGATTCATTACATGACATCACTCATACTACCACATGACATATCTCTACCA